ATGCTTAATTGTTCAGTTGAAGGTCAAGGTAATGCATTTCATTGCATGAATATTCATGCCATAATCATGAAAAGGTTTTTCTTCATGATTTTTAATGAAAGAAAAAGGAAATGACATGATTTTTTGAAAGCAAATGGCTAGGCACTTTCAAAAGGTTTACAAGAGGAATGACCAACCTCTAGTAAGGAAAATGAAAAAAGAAAAGGAAAAGAAAAAGTAAAAGGGAAGGTGTGTAGTGCTTTTGTGTTTTTCCACAATTGCATGTTTTTAAAAAGGACCAAATATATACACATTCGGTATGGTGCACCTAAAGAAAAAAATGAATTTCAAAGGCACGAAAGGAAAGGTTTTTACTTGCATCACGTGCACTACATATATGAACTTACACTTACCAAGTATAACTCACTTTTTCTTCTTGTGGTATAGGTGAGAAAAAGAATAAATGATGATGTGTATCAAGGTTAAAGTTGTTGCCTAACGAAGCCCAATTTGATGATGAGTGTTCATGAAATGTGGGTGTGAGTTAAAAGACCTAAACTTTTCTTCTATTTCATGTTTTTTAACACTACGTTGTGTTTTAGGGTTAGTAGTTATGGTATGTAAATTAATGATACTCTTAGGACAACTCTAATAAATAAATATACATGTGCTTGATAGTAGTTTAAATTGGTTTCATGATTGGTTTTAGGGTTTAAGTAAATAAATTGGCTTTAATGAAGAAATTAAAATGGATTTAATTGGTGCTTATAATTAAATGGTTAAATGGTTAAAATTTAATGGATGTAGTTGGAATGGAATAATTAAATAAGTTAGTGTTTTCTAAATCAAAATTTACTTCCAAAGGGTTTAACATAATATTTAGCTTCCAATGGGTTAAATTGAGGTTTAATTAAGTTAATTAATTGAATTTTCAATCTTAAAGGTTTTCTATTGAATTGGAAGAATTCATAACCTAATGATAAGATGAATTATTAAATGGGATTTATATTTTAAATGGTGGTTAATTAATAAAGACTAAATTGATAATTTTATTTTTAATCTGAATTTTTATAAGAATAATTGGAGGAAATTGAAGGGGCAATTTACTATATTTTAAACCAAAATTTTATTTTAAAATATTTAAATTGAGTTTTACATAAATAATTTTTTAGACGTATTTTGGATAAATATATTCACTTGTTCTATTGAAATAATTTTTACTGAACATTAATTAAATGAATTAATGTTTTGAAAAATTTATGGACTAGTTCTTGCATTAATAGTGGACATAAATATTAAATTAAACAAGCTTCCATAGTGAATAATAATTATTTATACGAGAAAAGACATAAGACTTAATGTCTTGTATTCATTACATTTGGAATGTGAGGCATTACTGGTAATATTCTCGACCTACTTAGGTCTTAGGTTTAGGGTGTTACATCTAAATTCTCAACCTTTAAAACTTATTTGTAGTGGAACTTCTATTTCATGAGTTTTACTTCATCATACTGAATCGGTGAACATCTCATGAGTCTTACTCGAGTTGATGAGACTATGTCGGATCGAAAGCAACGACACGCTAGCAACTTTACAAATAATCCATGTTTTTCTTAGGTCTCCACCACAAGGTTTCCCCACTATAGTAAAAAAAAAAATTTACTATTTTGATTTGTTTATTTTTGAATTTTTTAGTATTTTGATAGTTTTCTCAATTTTTATAACCTATTTTATTTTATAATTTTTTATTTGTTTCTCAATACATACAAATTGACCAATTTTTGTCATGTGTTAGTTAGAAACTACCATGTTTCCGTTGATCCGGACCTCATTAGTATTTTTAAATCAATTGTCCGAGGAAACTCAAAGAGAAGAAACTAACCAAAGTTTTACAATCAAATATATAAAATAAAATATTAGGCACCCAAGTAGAATAAAAATTAAATATTGAATACTCAAATTATAGTTTTCTTATTTTCATTAGTTTGCATGAAAATATCGATTAGAATAGTACATTAGATAATGATGTAAAATAAAATGACGAATCAAGAGCAATTAGACTTTTAAGAACAAATGGAAGAGTGAGCCTCAAATGTAATGATAAATTAGGTTAATTCTCAAGTAAAGTATAATATTAAGTCACATGATTGATTTTGATGGTTTGGCTAGAAAATGTTATCGGAATGACAAATTGAAAATTCAAACACAATTGGTTCAATTAAAAATATAAAAACAGATTAGACACTAAATTAGGATAAACTAGGTCACATATATATTCAAACACGAGTTGGTTCAATTAAAAATATCAAAACAGATTAGACACTAAGTTAAGATAAACTAGGTCATATATACATGTGTGTGTGTGTGTGTGTGTGTGTGTTTTTTTCTTGTTACCGCATGATTAGTGGGGTTTTGAACTCAAATCATGTTGACTAGTTTAGAAAAAATCTTCTTAATGACCGCTTGACTATAACAACCTATTTACATAAATCTCTCTTTCTTTCTCGGTGATTGTCCGTGCAATATAAAAAAATAATAATAAGGTTTAACGATAAAAAATTTCGTTGCTATATCCAAATTTTCATCGCTATTATGTTTTAGTAATGGAATTGCGATGAAATAAAATCTTTGCTAAACGGTTTAGTGCTATTTTTTTTAGAAACATAATTTTTTTTTCTATTTTGAGGTTTTTTGTTGCTAATTCGATGTAAATAGTCATTTTGTAAATGCGAAATCAATAGCAAAATCATCGTAGAATTTAGTCACCGACGATGGTTACAAATCCGTAGCTAATTTTCATCGCTATTGCTCATGGATTTCCTTTATGTTGCTAATTTTCATCACTAAGGAATTAATTTGTTTATTTATTTTATCGTTAGTTAGTCATTGATCCATCACTAAATAAAGAAATATTTTTTAAAAAAAATTGTGAATAGCCATTTAATGTTAGCTATAGTAGCAAAACAACTTAAAAAGGATAAAAAAAATAAAAAAAGTTTTCAATTTTGATTTTAAAAAACATAATAGAAAAATAAAAATAATACCAAACGATTTCTAAACTTTACAATATATTCTCAATGTTCCAAAAATCCAATCTCAATTTGTAGCTAGAATATTCAAATTTGGATCTCTGCATTCCTTTTAGTAAGGCTATCTAATTTTTAGACTCTAGAGAGAAATGGAATTAATTAAAGTTTTTCATGCTCCTATTAGTTACTTTACTTGATAAATTTTAATTGCCTCAAGTATTGCAAGTGTATGAAGTTATGATATCTTAAGTAAATATTTGATATAGACTGATGAGGTTATGGATGGATAAATCTTTTCCTGGCTGATTGTGTGATGATGATCTATCATTATCTTAGAGCCCTGAAGTAAGTATCTACAAAGTGAAGTCCTCATCTTGAATTTTGAAGGATACTTCGATGACAAAATTAGCATACGAAGAGAGATAATTTTAGCCTTATTAGGCTTAATAGTGTATCTTTAGCGTATATTGCATAAATAGGCTTTTGTTTTTCAATTTGCTATATGAACGGAGAAGATATAAATTTTATTTATTTATTATTATTATTTTTTTTTGGTTATTGAGTCAATACATAAGCATAACCTAATTTGTTGGTGTGCTTAACTGGTTTCTTGTTCTAACTCTTGACTGCTCAACCCTTTTGTGTGTCCAGGGGTTCATCCTTTTATAGTGGATGCCAAGGCCAATTTGCATGGAGTGAAGGGGGTATTTGACATTCACTTAGGGGTAAATGGGTCTCTCTCTTATTGTATAACAACTTTTAACAAGTGTTTGGTGATCCTCCTAAAAGAATGTCTCTTATTGACGTAAATTATCATTTTAGAAGTTGAACATGTGAGACAGTATTTTTCATTTAATGCTCGTCTTTGTGCTACATGATTTTTTTGGTATGATTCTGCCAGGTTCGTTTGCAAAACATGGCTGACAAATTAGATTTCCCTAGTTTCAAAAACTCACACCTACTTCATAGTTCAGGGTGTGGCTTTCTAAGCAATTTTATTATATTGTGGCCTTAGTGACTGGAATCTCAAAGCGATTGTTTCAGTTTCCTAGATGTGTACTTGATAGTGTTAATGGCATTTTGTTTTTTTCCATGGTTCTTCAAGTTCATTCTGTGTTTCAAAACCTATTACAAACCAAGGGTGGAAACATCCTCATCTTTTCCCATAGAAGCTTGGTTAAATTGTACGCATGTGAGACACAAAGAGTGTTAATCCATAGAACAAAATTCTCTCTTTAGTCTACATTTCGGCAACTGTTAATAGTATATGTATCCTTTCTTTTCTTTCTTCTGAAAATGGGATAATGGCATTTGGAGTGTGTGTATCCTTTTTTTTTCTTTTTTTTCTCTCTATATAGAGTAGTATTCATGCTTTGATCAATCAAATACCTCGATCAATTTTGTTATCCAAATATTAATGTGGCAGTTCACTCCCCATAGGTGAGTTATATTATTTTAATATTTTTCATTTTTTTTTAAGTATAATAACACATAAAGTACTTATATTTTATGATTATTTTTATTTCAGTACTTGTATTCATGAAATTTGATCAACCAAATACCGATGACAGTTTTTATTACAAACAAGCTAATATGACAGTTGTCTCTCTATCAAATGGACTTAAGTGTTAGAAATTGACAAATATAAATGGCATATAAAATACTTGTACTTCCATGCCTTTTTTTTTTTTTTTTAAGAGTAAATGACTCGTTTCATTCTTATATAATTAGGATTTGAACTTTTATAAACATATTTACCATCAGATTAAGTTTTTAAGACAATGGTGAAGGTGCTCCTCAAAAAACAGTTTTTATATGAATACTCCAACAAGATATACAGTGACCACCAACAAGATATACAGTGACCAAGCGATCCCAAGAGCTTGGAGAAACTCCATCCCATTCCCACCCTCTACAATCTTTTTCTACAAAATGCCTCAGCCTTTCGCTGAAGACCCCTTTGGAATAACTACTAATCATCACATTTAGAATTTAAATGTCAAAGGATGTCTTCCTCCATAACCACTCCTCCCAAATCCTCTCAGCATCATCGAAGTCATCCAACTTCATCAATGCACTTATCATAAGTTGATAGCCTGAGTTGAAAAGCACCCTTGTATCATTACACAAATTCCAGACACCATATTCCCCTTCTTTATTCCCAGCAGCACCATATAAAGAGAGGAGAACCTTATAAGCAAGCCTTTTCAAATTACCCCTTGTTCGACCGATTAATTGCTCAACTCTGTTCAACAAAGATAAAGTTGTCTCAACTAGGCCAGCTTTCAGATAATCATTTGCCACAACAAAACAAGTACTCCATTCAATGTTGATGAGAGGATCTGTTTTCATCTTGTTCAGAATTTTCTCCATTTCCTCAATGTTGGAAATGGCTACATAAGCATTCAACCTAATGTTAAATGTATACATGTCACCATTGACTCCCTTTTCTTCCACCTCTTTCACTAGGTAGGTTGTCTAATTTCCCATGTCTCCCCATCTTATAACAGAGGCTTAGCATTACATTATAAGGTAGCTCTTGTACAAATCCCAACACTCTCAACGTTTGCATCATGGTCTCTGCTTTTTCAAGCACTTTCTGTGTACATAGCAGTCCAAAATGGTACCATAAATCTGGATGCCCCTAAAATGGTCAGGAATCCTATTATCTTTAAGACCTTGGAGATGCCATGGGCATGATGCCATTGCGATGGATTGGGGTTTGATTTTTGGAGGAAGAAATTCATTTCATGGAGTTAAAAGAGAGAGAAGAGAGCCTTTTTGGGTTTAGGCTTTTGTGGTTTTGGGAGGGTTTAAAATATCTCTATCACCAGAACTGAAATTAACGAAGACAAATAAATGCAGCATTGAAATCAATTATAAGCCAATCATCGAAAGAAAGATAGAGACTAAATGCAGCATTGAATATATGAAATCACATATAGAGACTCAATTAAGAAATTTATATATTGCTGGTACCATCATGTCAGCTTGCAGGAAGATGATGCAAACTTGCTCTAACTTTTCACACAAAATTCAACTCCTCATGGCCTGCCCTAGTGGGTCTTGGCTTAAGTATAGAACACTAATTACTTTAAAGGTGAATTTCAGAAATGTAACAATCGGATGCAAAATTGAAATATATATATAGAGAGAGAATCCGGAGGAAAAAAATTAAATAATCAGATTTTTTTTTTTTTTTTTTTGGCATCTGAAGCCATGAAAATTCTATAATGAGGAAGAAAGTCAACTTCACAATCCATGCTGCAGACTCTACCACATCTATAGAGAGCTTCACTTAAGATGGAGGACTTTAAAGAAAAGTTGGCTCACCCAGGCTTCGGACCAAGCATAAACTCCAACATTATAAGATGGTTTAGGAGAAAAGGACAAGACAAAAGCTAAATAATATAGGAAATGTTCAGCATCCTGTCCATCTAGAGGTTGCGCAACACATTGTCGTCCATCACTGACCATAAAAAACACAATAAGTCATTTATATGATGATGTTACTGTATCACATCAGTTATATAATGGAAAAAGTAAGACAACATGACAATATGTAATGACAGCCAAATAAAACGAGAAAATCATGCATGTATTTTAATGTGACACTTGTTTTCTTATAGCAACTAAGAAAAGCATAAGAAACTGGATTAAGCTAGGAGATTTCAATTCACGAGCCAACAAACAGCTTTGGATGACTACCACACAACAGATGGCTTTGGAGTTGCCTTTATTCACTCTAGACAAGCAGAGACATAATACAATGTATTATATTTACCCTAAGTAATTAGGAGCCAGAATACGTAAGAGCCTTGATTACAATTCTCAATAACTAAAGGTGTGTAACAAGTAGTATGTCGTGAAGATCATTTTAGTTAGCTTTTTCCATTTCAATCTGCATACTGCTTTTGAGAAGGTCAATTGAAATTACCAGAGTCAAAAATCCATGATGCTGTTCTAGAACAATAGAAACACCTCTTCAATATTGGCATATCCACACAGGTTTGCATAATTTGGTAAATGATAGTGTTAATGCATCACACGCAATGCTGTCAATTATATAACCATAGAAGAGAACAATTAGAAGCTTTACAAGGTGATATGTAATGCAAATAAGCGGCACAAGCAACAATAAAAGTTCGAGCAGTAAATATTTCACATTCATGTTGGTCTATAGCCAATATCATTAAACACTTAGGATCAACATAAGGAGAATTCATCCTCTGCATTCCCTACATTATTTTTTGAATTTATTCGATAGGTATAAAATGAAAATGCAGACAGATTAGCTAAGAAATGCACAACTCTATAGAACAAAGTAGGTAGCCAAATACAACAACTGGCTTCATGTAAGAAAGCCAAAAATCAAAATTGTCAAACCCACACATGATGCACATTGTTATAGTCGATCCCTTGAATAATTAGGGTTCGGATTACTGCAGCAGTAACATTGACAAAACCAGTGACAAAAAGGAATTATTTGTTGTTTAGCAAAACCTTCTTCAGACTTACACTCAATCACAAGTAACTCATGCAAGATTTTAACAAGTTCCAAATTATAAGCTGTTACAAGACAAAAAGGTCAAAGAGACAAAATGTAGGAAAATATTCAGTGAAGTATAAGAATATCTACAGACAAACATAGCTGGGCATGTATAACCCACAGGAGGTGGATGCTAGTCTAAAACAGGTAGCTAATGACTATTATGATTGGCGGGGAAAAAAAAAACCAAGTAATTTGTGTCGTTGTCCAGATTTTGACAAGATGGAACTAACAGTAAAGGCTACTTAGTATTTGCCACATGAAACAGCAGCATGAAAAACTTACAATACCTTTTCTCCTTGACGAACTTCACATAAGCCTAATTACTCCTTCAGAACAACATTGCCTTTATTAGATAAAAGATCATTCCACCAAGACTGAGGTGCCCACATCTGCAACAAAACATGTCTCTCATTTCTTGAATAAGTTGTCCTGCACCTGAATCATTCTTGTGCTGGAGAAATTCCCCGATAATAACATTATAGGAGTATTCATTTAGAGGGCAACCATCCTTTTCCATATTTCGGAAAGCTTTGTGAGCTTCATCCAGCAATCCTTCTTTGCAAAGTCCATTTATTATTGTAGTATGTAGCAAGCATCAGGCTGCAACCCTTTGGCAAGGAGTTCTGAAAACAGTTCCCCTGCTTCTCTAAGCTTTCCAGAGTTGCACATAGCGGGAATCAGGATATGACAGAACACCAAATTAGGCTTCAGATTACTATTTTACATTTCTCAAAACAGTCTCAATGCCTGATCAAGAAACCCTCGTTTAAAGAAGTCATCAAGCAAAATTGAGTAAGTAAATATGTCTCTCATTTCTTGAATAAGTGGTGCTGCCCCTGAATCATTCTTGTGCTGGAGAAATTCCCCGATAATAACATTATAAGAGCATTCATTTAGAGGGCAACCATCCTTTTCCATATTTCGGAAAGCTTTGTAAGCTTCATCCAGCAATCCTTCTTTGCAAAGTCCATTTATTATTGTAGTATATAGCCAAGCATCAGGCTGCAACCCTTGGACAAGGAGTTCTGAAAACAGTTCCCTTGCTTCTCTAAGCTTTCCAGAGTTGCACATGGCAGGAATCAGGATATGACAGAACACCAAATTAGGCTTCAGATTACTATTTTACATTTCTCAAGACAGTCTCCATGCCTGATCAAGAAACCCTCGTTTAAAGAAGCCATCAAGCAAAATTGAGTAAGTAAATAAATTTGGGAGGTTGCCACTAGCATGCATATTCTTAAAAAGCTTTTGTGCTTCTTGAAGTCTCCCTGCTTGGCACATGCCACTAATCAAAGTAGTGTAACAGACAGTATTTGGAATGAGTCCTTGATGAGTCATTTCATAAAAAAGTTGTTTGGCCTGATCTAACCTGTTGGCCTTACAGTATCCATTGATTAAGATGCTGTAACTAAAAACATTAGGTATACAACCATTGCTTATCATCGTATCGAATACCTCTCTAGCTTCAACAACTTTCCCTCGCAAGCAGTATCCATGCATCAAAGAACTGTAAGTAAAAACATCAGGCTCCACACCCAATGCAGTCATAGTTTTTAAAATAACTCGAGCCTCTGAGAACTTGCCTTCTTTACCAATAACATCAATCAACATGCTATATGTCACCACATTAGGCTTGCAACCTACCTCTTCCATTTTCTTAAGCAATACAGCGGCCATAGTGGTTTTCCCAATCTTAAATAAACAGCTGATAATAGTATTGTATGTAAAAACATTTGGCTCGCAACCTGACTCTTCCATTTTCTTAAGCAATGCAATAGCTGCAGTGGTTTCCCCATTCTTACATAAACCATTGATAATGGTATTGTATGTCACAACATTTGGCTTGCAACCTCCCTCTTGCATTTTCTTAAGCAATCCAGAAGACAAAGTTGTTTCCCCATTCTTACATAATCCATTGATAATGGTATTGTATGTCACAACATCTGGCTCGCAACCTGCCTCTTCCATTTTCTTAAGCAGTCCAGTAGCAACAGTGGTTTCCCCAGCCATACATAAACCATTGATAAGAGTATTGTATGTGACAACATTTGGCTCGCAACCTGCCTCTTCCATTTCCATAAGCAACCCAGTAGCCGCAGTGGTTTTCCCAACCTTACATAAACCATGGATAATAATACTATAAGTGTGGACATTAGGTTTATACCCTCTTGCCAGCATCTCGTCAAAGAATTCCACAGCTTGAGCAAATTTACCCACTTTACCCAGTCCACTGATTAAAGTGTTAAATGTGATAACACTGGGTTGAAAACCAAGTTTAAAGATTTTGGCCAAAACAGAGAGCCCATAATCAACACGATGTAAGTGGCAGAAGCAGTTAATCAAGATGCTAAAAGTCAAAAAAGTATGAGACAGTCCAGCTAATTCCATTTGTTTGCAAAGAGACACCACAGTCTTATAATGTCTCATTCTAAAAAGAGAAGACAATAATTTACTGAATTCGAAGATAGAAGGCCGAGGACCCCTACGAAGCATGTGATGGAAGGAAGAAAGGGTATCATCAATGCTACTAAAAGAAGCATTTTTGTGTTTATCTGTAGAGCTAGTGGTAGTAGTAGAAGAAGAAGAAGAAGAAGAAGTGGAAATGGAGCTGGAGTGGTTGCTAAACAATAGAATCATACCCATTAGTTGAAAATGGAACCCAATACCGATAAAAGGGGCTGCTGAACTTCGTTTTCGTGCCGCCTTCATCATCATCATCTTCGATCTCTCGTGTTTCTTCAGTTCCAACTTTAAGTTGGAGAAAGCAGTGCTTGTGTTTCAATATTTCGGAGAGTGAGAGACAGAGGGGGCGGGGGGATTTGTTCTAAAGGAGCGGGAGCCGCTGTGGAAAAGATTAACCCTAAGTTTTCTTGTATTTGGATTTTAGAGTAAACTAGTTCTCTACCCGCGTTATAATTTGATGACATCTCTTATATCAGTGGTTATTAAAATATATTAAATAGAAAGTAAAATTAAAATTATTATTTTTTAAAAAATTTAATAAAACATTTATTATGTTTTTTATAAATTTTTTTTGTTAAAAAAATATAATTTATTCTTTTACAATCAAATTTTTAACTGATAATTTGTAATAAAAATTCTAAGATTTATGGACTCTTAACTAAAAAAAATTCTTATAATTAAATCTTTTAATAAAATCTAAAAACAATTATTTAAAAAATACTTTTAATCTTTAGATTATATATATATATATAATTTATAAAAGGAATTCTTTGAATTTTTAAATAATAGAAGCATATATATATTAAAATTTTGGGATAATTACCAAAAAAACCCTCTAAAAAAATTTTATATCCAAGAAACCCATCAATTTATTTTTAAATCCCTCAAACCCAAAATAATATTTTTCTTACCAAAACACTCAATAGTTAACTTCTAACTTAACACTAGTTAACTATTGTTTCTTTTGGTAAGAATTTTATTTATTTTATTTTATTTATTTTTTTTTTTTAGGTTTGAGAGATTTAAAAAATAAATTGATGAATTTTTTAGATAGAAATTTTTTTAGAGCTTTTTTTTTATATATAATTTTTATCTAATAATAAACTCATTTCATAGTTTTTAATGAGTTTGATATTTATTATTTTTTTCATGATCAAGTTAAGTTCGTTTTTATTGCATTCGAAAGAAAAAAAAAGTTTTTGAGGTTCCTTGACTTTTAAATACTAACATTCGACTATTTTTTATTATTATACTAAATAATAAACCCACAAATTTATTTTTAAATCTCTCAAACCCAAAATAATATTTTCTTACCAAAACAACCAATAGTTAACACTAGTGTTAATTATTATGTGTTTTTGGTAAAAAAAATATTATTTTGGGTTTGAGAGATTTAAAAATAAATTTCTATATTTTTTAGATAAAATATTTTTTTATAAGGTTTTTCTAGTAATTATCCCTAAATTGTTTTTATAATATATATATATATATATATATATATATCATTTAAGAATAAAAAAAATCGTCATATAAGTATTAAATTTTTTAAAAGAGCAAATAGCAATATTCTAAAAAATCATTAAAAAATTTCTTATGTAGACTTCTCTCTCCTCCCTCATCTCTCTTCATTTCTCTCTCCTCTTAGCAATTAGTAATCGGATTATAATACAAATAAAGTTACAAGTTGAAATAAAAATTATTAAAAAAAAAAGGAGGGATCAAAAAATCACATTGCAAAACTTTACGTATAGAATGTCCGAAAAAAAAAACCTAAAAATTAGCAATTGGGGGTGAACATAAATGTAGGAGAAATAAATAAATAAATAAACTTAAAATAACAAAAATGTTGTGAGTATTGAAGAGTCTAAAAATAATAAAAACCCCACCTCTTTCTTCTAGGGTTCTTTGTAATTTTTTTTTTTTTTGCCAAAATATATCAAGAAATCCTATGATTGAAAAAAATTAATTGCACCATACAAATTAAGGATTATTTTCTTTGACTTATTTATAATAAGTCAAAGAAAATAATCTTTAATTCGTATGGAATGAGTCCAGACTTAACTTTTTTCTTCCCTTTTTTTTTCGGACTAGGCTGGAATTAGTCCAACCTACGGATTGGGCTTAGCCCAACCCAAAAATACAAACAAAACTCTTTCTTTTTATGAAACTCAATCATTTTTCTCTTTTTCCCTCTTCCTCGTTTGATCTCTCTCTCTCTCTCTAACGAATCGGTAATGGTTCATCTCTCTCTTTTTTTTTTCTTTTTTTGTCTTTCTTTTTCTTATTCCTCTCTCTCGATCTTTGTTTTTCCCTTCTTCTCGCTCGATCCATGGAAGAAGCGAATCAAAGATTTATGATTCGTTCTCTCCTCTTTTCTCTCTCAATCCTTTTTTCCCTCTCACTCTACTAATCTCCCTCTTCCAATTAGATCAAAATCCCAAATTGATAATTTTTTCTAATTTAGCCGAACCCTAAGTTTTTTATTTTTCAATTTTTCCTTTCAAATGGCCTTAATTGGCTTGATTTCTCTTAAGATCAAGCCAATTCAAACCTAAATGAGTCATTATTTTCAAAAACTTATAATTTTTATTCGTTGTTGAAGACCTCGAAACCCTAGGTTTCAATCTAGTCTAATTTGGGTTCAATTCATGGTTTAAACTCTAAATTGAAACTCCAATTAAGTTTCATTAGCCTTCATTTCTATTATTCAACCTCAATTTTAGTCTAAAACAAAAATCTCTAAATTCCAAAACCCTAACTATCAAGAACCCTAAATTCTCAAAAATTCTAATTTAATTTCCAAATTCAAACCCTCTATTCGAGTTAAAAAAAATACAAATATATGTGTGTGTGAGTGTGGAGGGGAAAATTCGGGTTGATAATGATGATAGAGAGGTACTGTGATTCAACAATTAGTTAAAAATTCCTCTCTTTTGTTCTTTTTTTTTTTATTTGATTTTAATTTTCAAAGCGGAATATTCCCTCCTTTTTTGTTTCCTACTCCCCTCCCTTTTTTTATGAATTAAATTGATTCGAGCTAATCCCCCTTCCTTGTGTTTGCTATTGTTGCCTCTTATCTCGTGATTGTTTTGGTTCTCCATAGTTTGATGGTGTGAGATTTTATTACAAGATATGGAGTGGGGGGTTTTGATTGATAGGCTAATGATTTTTAAGAAGAAAATAGCATAAAACGAGGAGCAATGGCAATCGGAAAAGGAGAGAAGATTATAAAAGAAGGTTAAGGAGGCAAAAAGAAAATAAAAGTAGTAGTGATAACATTGTAATTAGAAAAATAAAGGAGGGTACAAATTTTTTTTTTAAAAAAACAATGTTGTATGAACATGGATGTCCACAAGTGTTTTGTGTGGAGGTGAAGAGTGCATGAACATCTTCACCCCCATGTCTTTTAGAGTCTTTTATAATTATATATTAGACCCTCCATTTTTATGGAACAAATTAATTAGTTTTTTAATTAATTATTTAATTTTTTTACCATGATTGATCATGTTTAATTTAATATTATTTTGTTTCAAAAAATGTCATCTTTTTTTCATAAACTTTCCATATCTTTTTTTCCTTTTTCTATTTTATAAAACAAAAAAATCAAAATAAATTAAAAAAAATAAAAATGATTAAATTACTAAAACTTTCAAAATATAAGGATTAAATAATTTGCTTTTGAAATGAGAATGACTAATTAATAATCTACTCTCTATTTTTTTATAGCAATTTTGATTGTTATAATAAATTGTTCATTAAAATGTTTTAATAAATAAATGAGCATAGGGCAAATTAAGGTAAGATTTTAATTGCAATATATTCACATGATTTTGTCAATATACTCACAAATTATTTCATTTATTTTAAAATTTTTGATAATTTTTTGGGTCATTAAAATGTTATTATAGACCAAATTTACAGTTTTATATTTTTCAAATCAAATTGAAAGAATGATTTAGACATTTGTGACTAATTTATATAATCTAAAAAACTTTATTTTTATTTTGTTTTCTTGATAAATATAGGTCATTCACGTATTAGTTGTAAGAGGCAACATATTAGCAATTTTTTTTTTGGCAATAAATAATCGTCATGTTAGCCTTACATGGATAAATATAAGATTTGACCAAAAAAAATTTTGAAGAACAATATTAAAATAGGAACTATAAAAGCCAATAAATAAATAACTAAGCCCATTGATCCTAGTTCTTGAAAAAACAACTAGATAAATTCCTTATTTGATACCCTTCTAACAAGGCTTTTATTACTTTTGTGATCATAAATTCTAAATAGAATGGTCAAATTCTTATAAGTATTTTTAATCCCTAATTTTGATTTTTTTAATTTATAATTTATAAGATTAGGAGAGTTAATCCTTAATTATGTTTATTTTAATTTGTAAAATATTATAATTTATATTATAAATATTTTAATGCTCATTGGATATTATAAACATTTTATAAAAAAATGTTGTAAAAAACATAATTAACAATACATAATTTCAAGCATTAACTTTTTTTTTTTTACAAATTAAAATGAGCATAGCTAAGGATTGATCCTCCTAATTTTATAAATTATAAAATTTTAATATAATATTTATAATTTTTTATAATTTTTTTTTAAAAGTTCAAAATTAGAGGGTTAAAAAATATATAGATATTTTTTTATATAATTTCTAAAATATTTATAACATCTTATAGGAAAAAAATTCAAGTTTGAAGAGATTAAAAATATTTTTAAAATGTTGTTGAAAAAAATAATTAATAACGAAATGCCAAAACGACGTGATTTGACATTTTAATTAATAATTTATTTAATTGATCGTTACATATAATCATAATTATGAAAATTAGATCAATTTTACCTAAAAATTATTAGTTGAAATTTAAATTATATAATTTGATATCTAAACCAGAAATTATCAAATCACAGTAAAATGTAACAAAAATTTCCATTAAACATCCTAGCTGCTAATATACTGTATGCATCTCAGTAAAATTGCAAGTGATTAAATATTTTCACACATATCCCAAAAAAATTACAAATTAGTAATTAAATGCCAGCAAACTAGACGTTTAAACTTTTGAGGGAGAGGAGATATTTGCTTTGTTGCTGGGAGGGAAAGAATTGACCGAGTGAGAGTGAGACTTGAGAGAGTAACCAAGCCCTAAGGCAACCATATACAAGCTCTCCGCTTTTTCAAGGACCCTTTTCTCTCTACCGGTGACATACTGACCAAAGAAAGAAAAATTTCAAAGGTCTCTGCTTTCGATCCAAACTTGTTGCCAATGGCACTGAAATTTGAGAAACAACAATATGTGAGGAGGAAACGCGAAAAAACCAAAAGAGAGCTTTATCCCAACGAGAAAGTAGAGGTAATAATAATAACGCCCTTTTCTTTTTGAAGGGTTTTTGTGGGGTTTGACACCCTTTTGCCTGTTATTGATTGATTGTGTTTTTTGATGACTTTTTTTGTTTATTTATTGAATTTTGAGTTTAATGTCAAGGTTTAAGGTGCCTTTCGGTTTGATTGGTACTGCATTGTGGTTTTTATTGGTTTATGTCAGTGTTATTGTTCATCTATGGTTGTAATATGTTTTATTTTTCAGACATGGAAGGCTTGATTATGGGTTCTTTAGAAGGCAACAAATAACTAGTCAAATAGGTTACCGTTAATGTAATGGTTTTGCCTTATTTTTCTTGTGAAGTTATTACCTTGTTATTATATGGAAATTTGCTCAAATGGTTTTTTTTTTTAAATTAAATTTTGGTAATGACTTAAATTGAGCAGTTGTTATTTATTTATTTTTGGACAATTAAATGTTTTTTTTTTCGTATCTGTATTTGTTCAATTTGGATAATGCATTTGTATGTTAAAATTTGAAACTTTATAGGTAAGGAGTGAGGAAGACGGATTTCAGGGCTCATGGCACCCGGGAACTGTCATTGCATGTAGTAGGCAAGGCATGGACTTAAAATATGAAGTTAAATACGACCATAAACTTAATAATGATGAATCTGACTATCTTGTTGATCAAGTGTGTGTTTCCCTTCCAGTTGATGGCACTGATTTTGCCAATGAGGACTGGTGTAACTATGGTGGCCTCATTAGGCCAGCAGCACCACCGTTTCAGTTTGGCAAATATGGTCTTCCTTGTGGAATGTGTGTGGATGTGCATTACCGAAAGGCTTGGCGGGAAGGTGTGATTTTTGATTACGACGATGGTTCAGAGGAGAGGAAGGTATTTTTCCCTGATTTGGGCGATGAAATTATGGCAAGTATCAATAAGGTAAGGGTCACTCAGGATTGGAATGAAGTCGATGGGACTTGGGGGCAACGTGGGACCTGGTTTTTTCTTGTGTTGATTGAGAAATACAAACAAAAGCAATACATTCCTGTTTCTACAACAGCAGGAATTCCTGTTCTCAGTTCTATAATCAGCGATGAAGGTTTTTCTAGCTCCAATTCCAATAGACTCATTTGGTCATCTTCGGGTTCAACATGCATCCAAAGTGGTGGGCTGCCTGCTGGCTCAGACATAGTTCCTGGACCTGAATTTTGCCCAGATGCCACTATCAAATATGCAAAAATGGGCAACAAAAGGCTCGGGAGTACTCTAATCAATGATGTGAGGAAGCATCTTTTATATCAGAGGCGGAAAATTGAATTCATGAGAGATAAAGGCATACCTAGACTGCGTTACGCCTCACCTGATGGGAAGCTGTACTCTTCCCTTTGCCAAGTTTGTCTAGATTTTAGTGAAACTGACAGAGGGATTCTTTCTACACCCTCTGAAGGTAAGCAGAGCAGTTTGCATACTTCTTGTGGTGATTCATCATCTCTTATTGAGCAAACACCAGAGAACTGGGATCCTTATTGTTGCTCTAAACCTGTGAGTACTTCTAATTCTGAAGTAGTTGTTTATGAACCTGAGTATTGTCCTGAAGCAATTGTGGAATGGTGCAATCGCTGGTGTAAGCATGGATCTGGGAAGAGATCCTGGGGAAAGCTTAAGAAAGCTGATATGGCACTAAGAGCTAGGAAGCACCTTGCAGCCCTGGGATGGGTCTTTGGTCATAAAAAATTTAATGGGAAGTGCCAACTTTATCATCGTTCTCCAATGGGGAGGACATACTGGTCACTACGACAAGCCATCAAAGACAATTTAGATGAAGGAACTGATATTTCTAGAGATGTGGAAATGGAAAATGTCAGTGACATAGTTGAGGGACAATTTTCTTGTGAAAAACTATCTTCTGCAATTTGTAGAACGGATTTTCAGAAGTTAAAAAACAGTTCTAAAGAGTCTTCTTGCATATCACAGTGCAGAAAACATCATGAGCTTCACAAAATAAGTGTTCAAACGACTAGAAAGGCACGAAGGAAAAGAAAGGATAGTTTACATGTTGAAACCCATTCAGATGTCCAAAACGGAAGCTGCCCAAAGTCAAGAAGAGGGATTACATCTAAAGCTTTGATTAAACTACAAAATGATAAGAAACATACTATGCCGGTCCGTGTGCGACGATCAAGCAAAAGAGTGCAGCATGTGGTAGCTCCTGACCCATCAAATCATAAACCTCGAACTGTGTTGTCTTGGTTGATAGACAATAATATTGTCTTGCCATGGACAAAAGTACATTATGGTAGCCGAAAGGACAGCAATCGAGTCATGGAAGGGCGCATAACTCGTGATGGGATCAAGTGCAGTTGTTGTGGGAAGGTTCACACCCTTAGTGGCTTTGAACTTCATGCTGGCAGCAAATCTGGCAGGTCAGCTACTAGCAAATACTGCAAGCCAGCTGCCAGCATCTTTCTAGATGATGGGAGGTCTCTGCTAGAATGCCAGATACAAATGATGCGTGATGAGAAGATGAGTAATCGCAAGGCAAAAACACCTTATAGTTTGAAGGGAAGTTGGGATCAAGCTGAGAATGATAATGTATGCTCTTTTTGTCACTATGGTGGTGAATTAATTTTATGTGACCAGTGTCCATCCTCATTCCATAAAAGATGTCTGGGCATGAAGGTGAGCAATGTATTTGGTCTTTGGTTCTTTTAGAAATTCTTGTATCATTTTATTATTGAGATATTTGACTTCTCATGCGAGATAAACTTTTGTGCTTTTTTTATCTACTCTTTCATGCTTCCATAGAATGTTCCTGATGGAGACTGGTTCTGCCCATCATGCTGTTGTAAAATTTGTGGCAAAAACAAATTGGAAAAAGACACCAAGGATTTTATTGATGGCATTCTTAATTGCGCTCAATGCGAGCTTAAATGTAGGTCGATTTTATCTGTTTGCAGCAAAAGCTTACAACAAATGATTGTACAAAGTGCATGTTTGTGATGTCTCTAATATGCCTTTTGTCTATCTGATGTAGATCATATTATGTGTCTGAGTAACAGTGGAACAGATAAATGGGAGCATTATCCTAAAGAAAATTGGTTTTGCAGCAAAAATTGTGAAGCGGTACTTCAAACTCACTTTCTCCTCCTATTCTTGTTTTGCGTAATCAAGCTGGATTTTCCTGTATTTGGCTTTTAATGATGATTTCTTGGAGAACAGAATTAGAATTACTTAACTCGTTTTCATCCAATTAACATAACATATTATTGTTGATGACTTGTTTCGTTAGCCTTTTTTATGGTTTTCTGGAAACTCCTTAGGCAGAATTCATGCTAATGGCATCAGAATCATGTGTCTCATTCACTTTCCTTGGCATACTTGCTTGCATTTATGTTTAATACAGTTACTATAAATGCTGGCGAATCGATGGTATATGGTCTATGTTTTGCATATTAGCTGGTTTTTGATTCCATTTTAGGTGAAGCTGAAGAGTCAGTGGATTGCATACACCTGCCTTATCAACCAAGATCATTTTAGGGGCAAAAATTCTGGGATCATAGGCCTGGAGTAAAAATTGAAGTAAAAATGTGAAAAAAATGATTATATTCCTACTTTAGAAGGATGATGGTATGCAGTTAGAAGCTTTAGTGCCGTAGGAATCATAAGTACTTGATTAAGTTCCCCACGTTCTACCCCCTACAGAAACATAAGAGAACTTGTAATCAACGTGGTACCATTTAATTTACACTCTTTTTAGAATTTGTCTTCCCACCCTTCTCTTTTTATTTTTTTATTTTTTTATTTTAGCATGGCTACACCGCCTTCATGTCTTTGATTGAGTAGGACCATATGCACAAGTTTTTAGGGGGTGGCTCTTTTTGTCAGATTTTTAGAGACTTTATGATGTGATTTATATGATCATAGTGAAACTAGAAGTTTATTTTTTCTATTAAGAGATTCGAAGTTGTGCTATTATAATATTAAATCAGCCTTATTGGTTAGACTTAATGAGTATTTGAAGTATATGAGGATCAATTGATAGTATTCAATTAGTATATGAGTTGTAAAGATGAGTATGAATTTCGTTGTAGGCTATTTTTATCACGAAACAAATAAAAAAATACTTTAGGCTATCATATCATGCATGGTGCTGGTAGCTTATACTTGCCACAAAAGTATATTTTCATTGAACATGCTTCTTGGAAGAAGGTTGCAACACTTTGATTTTACTCTTATGACTGTGTCAATATTGTAGATATTTTTGGGCCTCCAAAAGCTTCTAGGAAAGCCAATTCCAGTGGGTGTGGACAATCTTACTTGGACGTTATTCAAGTCTATGCAGTCTGATAATCATAAATTTGATGCTTCTGATAATGAGACCCTGGTTGAGACCTACAGCAAGCTCAACATCGCACTGGATGTGATGCATGAATGTTTCGAGCCCGTTGAGGAACCTTGCACCAGGAGGGATCTTATGCAAGATGTTATTTTTAGTATTGGGTGAGAATTTTAAGACAAATCATCCTAACCACTTTCTTTTTTCTGTTACATGATACTTGGTATATTTTATTCATAGAGCATAAAGTAGTAACTTAGTTTCACACAGCATAAATCTAACTATTCTGGATATCATATTACTGAACCAAGAGGCTCCTGGTTTTGTCATAATTTTTTTTTCTTGAAACACAAACAAAATTCATATTGAGCACGTTTTAATTGGTTGCCAATGCATTTTCTATAACAAGTGCAGAAAAGGTGGAAGCTTTCAGAAACATGTTTCAGGAAGAAAAACCTTTCAGAAACATGTTTCAGGAAGAAAAACAAGTACACACAGAGACAAAAGATGGTTTAAAAAATAATGAAAACAAGTGCAGAATGAGAAAATTGTTTGGATTGGCATTAACATAATTTGCTCTCCATACTATTCATAATTATTTTCTGTTCCCTACTTATTCTGTTCATCTTTTGTGAAATGTGTAGATTTGTCACTGGTCTTTCTAGGTACATTCTAATTTATGGATTATTGAGTTATCATTATCTTGTAAAAGCGATGATGAGTTTCTATGTTATTGGTGGCAGGTTATTGTCAATTGACTGTCTACTTGTAAGGTGTCTTGGTTGTTATGACTTTGGGGATTGACAATTATTCTTCTTGATTTTGACATAATTCTATGTGTTTACCTTGATTTTGATTCTCTCCATACCAGACGCCAGGCATTGTTAACGTTTCTGTGTTTGACTTTTGCAGGTCAGAACTTAACCGTTTGAACTTTCAAGGGTTCTACACCATACTTTTGGAGAAGAACGATGAATTAATTACTGTGGCTACTGTAAGGTGACTTTCATAGAATCTCTTTATTTCAAAAATTGGTAGTTAGCATGAGATTAGAGATATTCGCTGAGCAGCCTTGCATTTATGTTTTGTTAGATAATGGTTATCTAACAATATAGTTTCTTGTTCAAGGATTTATGGAGACAATGTGGCAGAAATACCGCTTGTTGGTACTAGATTCCAATATCGGCAACTTGGAATGTGTCGCATTCTAATGGATATGCTCGAAAAGGTAATCCATGGTGCCTCTGTGTGTAATCTGGCTTCTTTTTTCTATTAGTTTTTTATTTTTTCCAATTTCCCTCATTCTTTTTGAAGATCTGGCTTCCAACTCCAGTAATGCTTTCCTTCACTTGAAACTTTGATAATTGCAAAACATCAAATGGCTGTGATAGTCATCGTATTAATCTATTGGATGAGTAGGCCTATCATGATAATTTTCAAAGTGCTCATTGAATGCCACTGAAAACATGAAAATAATGCCAATTTTTTCAACTTTGTGGACATTAGGAATAGCTTTCTGAAACGAGAGGTTTTTGTTCTAACGTGTCGTTGATGTTGTGTCCGATGTGAGAGAGGAATGCATTTATTTATCAAGGATGACGCAAGTCCAAGGGATTGTGATCTCTTTTCTAGTATGCTGTTACAAGTGGATATATTTTGGCCAAAATTTTCACTGCTGTTCTGTTTTTTTCCTCCTTTAGAAGCTCATGGAATTAGGAGTTCAGAGACTGATTTTGCCTGCAGTTGCTGTTGTCCTAAACACATGGACTAGTTCTTTTGGATTTTCAAAGATGACGGACTCTGAGAGATTGCAGTTCGTAGATCACACGTTCTTGAATTTTCAAGATACCGTCATGTGCCAGAAACTGTTAAAGAAGTTGCCTTCTGCTCAGACAAGCCCATCGAAAGGTTTGTTTAATATCCCCCACTTACTCTGTTTGAGGAAAGTGAATATTCAATATTAGTATATTAATCATCATACATGTTCTTGTATCCTGTAATGCAGAAATCGAACCTACACTTCTTGATTATGTTTATGGAAGTGGTAAAAGCATTGGGGTCAATGGGTCTTGTCCTGTCTCTGAAGTACTTCATACAGATCAAAATGAGGATGGCAGAATCCTGGGACAAGGACTGGTGGAGTATGTCAAGTCTCTTACTTTCTCTATTAAGAAAATGGAAGAAGGAAAGAAAATCAGCTAGAAAACAATAAAACACAAAGGCTTAAATTGCTTTAATAGGAGGATCCGAGTAATTAATTTAATCTAGAAAGAAAATAATATAGAAAATTACCTTTAGTTACCTAATACAGGGCTAGGTTTGAGAAGTTCCATTCAGAAAGTTGCCCTTATTTGAGAATCTGAGTAATTAATTTGTATAAATTTGCTTAGAATAATCATAGACTGATAATTAAAATGGTTGGATAAAAATTGTTTTATAGATTTCCAGCTACTTTATATTTACCTTAATGCTTGTAGAAAGGAAGAGAAACTGGCAAATGAATCCTTAGAGACTTCCTTCTACTTGGCAGTATCACGGTAGCTGCTCAAAAGATCTGTTTGGGATTTATATTGGATGACATGTGTTGCTTTTGCAAGAAATCTAATGATAAACTGCCCTGTAGATTTGATTAGAATCAGGTTGAGAGAGGATTAAGGAAACAGAAAATAACCCAATATGAAATACTGGGAAGGCTGGGGCGATGATTTCTATATCATGTTCCGGTGTCCTTCTCCACTATATATGAATATGCACTTCATACAGTAAGCATCTCGCCACTTATCAAGTTCAAGTGGAATGGCTAAATTTATGCTAGATTAAATTATGAAGATCAGGAGAGGGAGAAAACAGCTAATACACACAATCATGTTCAAGTGGACTGTGGGATGCATGTGTTGAGGGCAGATGGCTATTACAGATTTCTAGAAGTTATAAATAACATGGAATTCATTTTTTGATCACCTCTTAAAGGCATCTCCCGTTTTGTCTGGGTAGAGTATTCCCCTATATTTAATTCGCTTAGAAAATTGGCATTAATTTTTTATCATTTTGCGCTTAGAATTTCTATATCCGGATTTGCTAGTTATGCTGCTGAGTACTGACTATTGTGATTGTCAACAGTGTTGCTGCAAGCAATATTAGTGATGGCATCAAACGGCCTGTTCATGACATAGTTGTGGTAAGTTATGGCGCAACCATGTCATCTTCTATTATGTCTTTGTGGAACTTAATTTTCTTTTTTTACAAGATTATTTGACATGTTTCTTGTCAGGTTAACCAACCAAATCATCCTGAATGTGGACCCTGCAATAGAAAAATCAATGAGGCCTTGGTTGAGGATTCCATTTTTAAGAAGGATGGTAGAGTTGGTGATAATGGTTCAAGCATTCTTAAACACGAAAGATATTGGGGTAACGTGGGTGACTTGAAGTTTTATAAAAGAAGAAAGACATCAGGCCGTCAGAACAGAATTTTGTTTTGCTTGCAAAGGCCGTAACATTGCATGATCAGATTCCAATCTGGGTTTAGGGAGATAAAATCTATCTCATCGTGGCATAAGTGGAGCTTCCGATTTTGATTGGCCCAGCACTAAAATTTTGCTTTATACTATAAAATTCTATGTGCAGAATATCTAGTGAAAAGAGGCTCTCATTGTTGGTGTATGCCTTTTATGCATAGCAGCTGTAGATACGAAGATGAGCTCATTTTGGGATATTTGTTTTGGATAGGAGCTTAGGGTAGGAATGTAATGAGGCCATATTTATAAATTACGGAAATTTAATTTCTGGATTAGATAATCAATCGCTTACCTGAATTTTTTTTTTTTTTGATAATCTGTTGTGTTTTTTCAGTTCCATAGCTGCATTAGGCTACTGATATTTCATGCTATGGACGGTTCCAAGCTCTAATGTCTAGAATAAACTATTTGCGCATGACTTGTGACCGTGAATGGGGGCAAGTGCGTATGCATGAATGGTTAAGATGGGATGGCATTGTTGGTGACAATTATGCAAAACAATTCTTCCTTCAATCTTGTTAGTTTCTGGAGGATAAGGTTGCTTGAAGTGCTTTGAGTTTCTTGCTGATGAGGTACTGTTATACTCTGTTAAGAACTTAGAACATTTTGCTGATTCTTTTGCTCGTTAATTATATTTTCTTGTTATTGAATAGTTTTTTTGCGTTCTTTTCTGGAAATCATTAATTCAGGGAAGGTGCATGATCATTGATCATGTAATGTTAAGAGTACGGCATTAATTCCTACATATTTAAAGGTAATGAATACTTTAACTTGTAACGCCATTGGTGTAGAAGTAGGCCGTTTATTCTTCAGTCCCTATTACCAGTCTTGCCAGGAGCTCCCTAAGCTTGTTGGCAAAAAAGGGGAAAGAAGATAATAATAGCAATCAGGGTAATCAATTTTGCCCTCAAAATTCCTTTACATATTCAATTTGACCCTTTCATTCTGTCTATGTCAAAAAATAGTCGATGGATTCGGGAAATAATGAAACATGTATAATTTACATATCGTGCACTGTTTCATTACACAAGCAAAACGAATGAAAAAACACATGAACACATATTACCCTATTTTTGATGTGAGGGTAAATTTGTCGATTTCAGACTATTTTACCCTATTTTTCAGAATTAATGAAACATATGTGTGACATATGAATTAATTGATGATTGTAATTACTATTTTCAAAATAAATGGTAGGAAAGGTGATATTGAAAATGTTAGTTAACGTTAATGGTAAATTTTATTGCTAGAGTTTGATGTGAACAAGGATGTAGATTAGGGACCTTTTCTTAGTTAACCCCAATAATAATAATATGACAAATTCCTACTCCTCTCTCCACCCCCACGTTATAAATACATGTTCATGGTCACTGGGTATTGTCATCTAATAATTAATAAATAATAAAAAATGATATGGATTTTTACTCTAGCTAAATTATAGTAAATGAATCAAAACGACAATGTTCTAATCCATCTTATTTCAAAATGACATATTTTTGATAAAAACAATAAATCTTTTTTTTTTTTTTTTTTAAAGATGAGATCATAATCGTTGATGTTTAGTTTGGTTCTTAATTTATATAGAATGATTCCTAAACTTTAATGCGTTAAAATGACATCCTTGAAAGGAGAGATAATTGTTTTTTTTGTTTTTTTTTTCTTTGGGTGTGTTTTTAGGATTGATTAAAACATGTTTTGAGGTTCAATAATGGTTTTTACATGTTTTTATATTATTTTAAAATGTTCGGACATAAAAATAACGTAGAAATTAGGTCTGGAAGGCCAAAACTATCGACCTCCATATTTGATCGCCAGAAGTTGTGGGTTGCGGATACGATGACTCATCAATCCTCGTAGACAATTCATTATTTGTCTCTATTTTTTTTTTAAATGTCTGGGTCGTGTGCTTCTAGTCTAGACATGCAGGCCTGGCTCTCGCCCCTCCCTAGCTTAATTTTTTTTTTAAAAAAAAAATTCTTTTTTTATGCTTTTATTTTTTCATTATATTATTTGCTTAAAATATTTTTTTTATTTAGCTCGAATAGTTAATGGCTGTTTAGTGATTTTTTTTAATAAACTTATTAATTAAAATCAAACACGCTTTCAATATACATTGATTTAGCTCCTTTTCCTTGTATGTTTTTGCATTTGATTATTAACTCTTATAATTTGATTTTTAATATAAAATAAATAATTAATTAAATAGTCAAATTAATTATGTTTATCTATTAAAAATATCATTTCCATTTTTTTGTATCTTTTCTCTATTTTTTAAAAAGTTTTTTTTAATCAACTATCTTTTTTAAAATAATAATTACTGAAATTTTGAATATAAAAAGAGATTATTGTAATAATTTATATTCATGATTGAAACTTTCAAAAGGATATTTGGTAAAATTGAAACCTCATAAAGAAAAAAATAAAATAAAATAAAAAAAGAATCAGCCTCAAGCTTCGTAGGGATAAAAATAAAATTACCCCAAAATTTAACCGAATGGATCCGAACAAAACAACCAATAAGAGAGAGCCATATCAACACACAAGACACGTGGCAAAGCCATTCCGTAGCTTGATCTGGCTTTTCTTTATTTTTCTTTCTTTTTTCGGTTCACGAACTCTATATCTTCTTGTAACCGAACAGCTGAGAAAAGTGAAAACCCTACAATTCTTCCGATTCTTCTCTCCCTCTCTATTATTTATCCCGCCATTTCTCCAAGAAAATCTCGTCCGTTAAATCCCTGCCGGATAATCACGATACTAACATTGTTAGAATCTAACAATCCTGGGATACAGAGAAACTTTCAATTGTCTAACACTGTAAGGCTATCTTTGTTTTAATTACTACTAATTTTTTAACAACTTTTAGCTTCAATGACATTGATGATATTGTGATAATTGCATTGCAACTTTGTTATTAGTAACTTTTGGCATTTTCAAGACTTGGATTTCGATAATTTAGGATTAGTAAGGCTTAATTACTTTCTTACGTTAGAATCTAAAATGGGTTTAATGTACATTGAATTGGGTTTGCTCACAGTGTCACTATGAGCTACCCTACTTCGGTTTTCTACTGTTATAAGCTGAATTAGGTATCTTCTTATTTGATTTGCTGTATGCTTGAGTTTTTCTTCTGGGTGCAAATTTATATTACTTTTATTGGATGATTTTTTGTTTTCTTTACTAATTTTTTATTTGTTGTTCTTGAATGAAGACTAATGGATAGTAGTGAACCTGATACATCGAGTCAACTGCAGAAAGTGGGTGCTGAGAATATATTCCAAACTTGTATGGTGGAAACTGAGATGGAGCGGGAGTGTCGAAGCTCGGAAACTTCCTCTATGGGTAAGAGTCAAGTGGTTGTTGATAGTGAGCATGGTTGTCAGAACCCTGAAGATGTTTGTTCCAATGACGACAGTCGATTGAATTTTGATGGTGAGGAATGTGCAAGTCCGAAACTTTCTTCTGTCAACAAATGTGACTTGCATGCAGATGATGATCCAGAATCTCAGAGCCCCAATGTTGCTGAATCAGGCGATGTTGTTGCTGTTAAGGATGAGGGAGAAATATATGTGATGCCCAAAGTTGGCATGGAGTTCGAAACAGAAGATCAGGCATATAAGTGTTATAGTAGGTATGCTGTTTTAGGAGGCTTCAGCATTAGAAAAGATTTTGTAAACAAAAGTAGGATAAATGGTGCTGTAGTATCCAGAAGATACACTTGTTATAGGCAAGGTTATCGGCCTGCTAAGCACAATGCGAATGTGAGAAAACCTCAGCAGGAAACAAGAACTGGTTGCTTGGCTCATATGACCATTGCACGCCAACCTAATGGAAAGTTTCGTGTCACTCATTTTGAAACACAGCACAATCATGAGTTTGTTACCTCAACTACTGCTCATATGTTACCATCACAGAAGAGGTTGACTTTTGCACAAGCAGTTGAAGCTGAATTATGTAATGGCCCTCAGATAGATGGAGTACCAAAACTTGGAATGGGTTTTGAATCAGAAGAGCATGCATATGAGTTTTACAATATTTATGCTGGGAGAGTAGGTTTTAGCATTCGGAAAGACTATGTAAATAGAAGTAAGGTAGATGGTGCAGTGGCCTCTAGGAGGTTCACTTGTTTTAGAGAAGGGTTCAGACAGAAAGACAAAAGAGAATTGAATGTGAAGAGACCTCGTAAGGAAACAAGGATTGGTTGCTTGGCTCAACTGGTTATTTCTCGTCAACAAGATGGTAAATATCGTGTCACACATTTTGAAGAAAATCACAATCATGATCTTGTTGCCGCATGCAGAGTTCGCATGTTACGATCACAGAAGAGATTTTCTGTAGCTCAATTTGTTGAAGGAAATACAATAGACAGTTCGAAGCTGCCAACAGAATCAGTCTCTGAATTTGTATGCAGTGCAGTTGGAGATCAAGACTTGCATGGCTATGAACCCATTAGTTACAATAGCAAACTATCTTCTAGACGGCTGAGAGAAATGAGAGCAGGAGAAGCAGAAAGGCTGCAACAACATTTTCAAAGCAAGCAGTTGAAGAACCCTTCTTTCTTTTATGCTATGCAGCTTGATGTTGAAGATGAGATAACTAATATATTTTGGGCTGAAGCAAAAATGGTGGTGGACTATAGTGATTTTGGCGATGTGGTATGCTTAGATACGACCTACAGACTGTACAAAGATTGCAGGCCCTTTGTGGCATTCCTTGGGGTGAATCATCATAAGCAAATGGTGGTTTTTGGCGCTTCCCTTTTATTTAACGAATGTGTTGAATCTTACAAGTGGCTTTTTCGATCTTTCGTGAGGGCAATGTCTGGAAAGAAGCCAAAGACAATCCTCACAGATCAAGATGTTGTAATTGCTGAAGCAATTGAATCAGTATTGCCAGAGACGCATCACAGAGTATGTGTATGGCACATGTATCAACATGCACTTAAACAGCTAAACCACATGTTTTTGGGCTCAGGTTCCTTTGTAAATGATTTAACCAGTTGCTTTTTCAATCATGAGGAGGATGGGGATTTTGTCAATGCATGGAATGTTATGTTGGATGCCTATGGTCTGTGGGAAAATGAATGGTTGCGTGAGATATTCAAAGAAAGAGAGAAATGGGCCCTAGCTTATGGAAGGCACATTTTTTGTGCAGACATTAAAAGTGCTCAACTAAATGGAGGTTTTACTGCTAACTTAAGGAAGTACCTAAAGTTTGATTTTGATATACTTTCATTTTTCAAGCATTTTGGGAAAGTATTGAACGAGTGGCACTACAGAGAGTTAGAAAGTAATTACGATATGAGTCAACGATTGCCGAGACTAATGGCAGATGTGGTTCTCTTGAAGCAAGCAAGGGATACATACACACCAAACATATTTGAATTGTTTCAGCAAGAATATGAAACCTGTCTCAATATCATCATTAATCAGCACACTCAGAATGGGTCAGTGTTTGTGTACAAAGTGAGCATATATGGGCAAGAACAAGAGTATACAGTATGTTTCAGCTCATCTGAGAAGGCGGTTTCCTGTAATTGTATGAAGTTTGAGTCAATGGGAGTTTTGTGCAGCCATGCATTGAAAGTTCTTGATTACAAGAACATCAAGATGCTCCCTAGCCAATACATTTTGAAGAGGTGGACGAAAGAGGCAAGGGTTTAAATTTTGGACAATTTTTGCTTACAGCATTTGAGACATTGCAAAGTGGCTGACATAGCCAACGATAATATCTCTGACCTGAAACTCTTGAAAATTGCTGATGACTCGCTAATACTAGAACACTCATGTAGATACAAGCAGCTTGTCCAGGATTTTACTAATGTTGTACATCATCATCCTGATTAACTGTTAATATGAAGAGAAAATTAGAATCTCTTCAATTTTGTTCAATTTCTTCATCTTTCTGTTTTTTATTTTCCTTCTGTTATAGTTTATATTTTCAAGGATTAAATTCTTGTCCAATGTTGAAATCAGTGCCTCTATTGGCATAACCTTTTTTCCCTTTCATTAAGTCATGTTGCAGCTTATTTGGCTGATGCTGTTGATGAGCTTTCATAGCAACCAAGGATTATTCTTCACATGAGCATTCAGGGAAACTGGATTATGATTGTTAATCTTGAATAGTCACTCATTTAATGAACTGCATCAGATGTTTTCATATTTATCCCTTGAATCGGGTCCAAGGAATAAGACTGTCAGATTACACTACAGAAATAGTGACCATATCTGGCGTAGTACACCCATAAGTTTTGTGTGTTCTTCAGGAGATGGAGGCGTTTGAAATTCTGATGATTGAGTGCTGGTTATTTCTTAATAGCTTGTCGACTAGAAGAAACTTTCCCTCTTGATGAATGACCATGACCAACTCAAAAGATTACACAACTTTTCAGTCAAGGTATGATTGGTTATAGTTTTGGACTTTTCTAATTACAAGAACTGGTGAATGTTGTGTTGCACTTGCTTCCTGCAAACTGGCTAATTCTTGAATTTGTCCTTCTCAATCTATCTAGATGTAATTAATTTTAGTGTTTACCCCCAAACAAATCTGAATTGAAGCTTAAAATTTAAATTCGGCATGGCCTACATTTATGCAATTAATAGTTAAGTACATATTAAATTTACACTACCTAATCTCGATAATCACAGAGTACACATTTATGAATTTGCTAGATCTAAAGTGAACAGTTGTATTTTCTTTGCAAATTAATTTGGCATGCCCTTCTCAAGCTCAACTCCACCTCTTCATGTTGTTCATTCATGCTGAATATTTGGAGATGTATTCTCATGAGCACTTGCTTTGAGTTGTGAAGCTAGAGAACGTGGATTATCACCTTTCTTCTGCATTACACGTTTGGAACCGGTATTCTTGAATGAAGACCATTGAGGAAGTTGAGAGGTGCTCTGTACCTCCTCACTGGGAGTCACTTTTCTTCCAAGCTTGGGTGATTCGGAATGAGTCAGTGGAATCTGTGAGCAGCAAAGGAGAAATACAGAAGAAAAAATTATTCAGTCCTATTGAGATAAATAACAAGCTATGGATAGGAATTTAACTGGGTTCTTAAAGTGTAGAGTACATATCATTATAGCAAAACCAGAAAGTTACCTTTTCCATCTGATTGTCTAGTGCTACTCTCTGTTTATAAAAATCAGGCAGCGGCCTGGCCTTGAAGCAAAGGCTTTGGCGAAGTCTTTTAAGTTCTGTTTCTGCTTTTTCCTGCTCAATATAATGAATGTCGTGTAAGAAACTTAGTCATTATACATTTGAGTAATCGTTTACCGATCGACTCAGTTTTTCTTTCACATAATGTTGTCTGCAGCAGCAAATTTTTTGCCCGATTAGCATTAATTCTTAGAAACACAGCCTAGTATTTTCTCAGTGAGCTCAAAAGAAAACTTAGTCATTATACCTTGAGTGTTGCTTGTAGCTGCACTTTTTGTGCCTGATAGGCATTGAATTTTTCTTCAAGCTTCTGAAGTAAAGAGAGAGGCAAAAGTGATTAATGGCATAGCAACAACAAATATTATGGACGAGAGGGATACAATAATTTCTTAAAGAAAAACGTAGTTTTACTACTTGCCTCCTTTCTTCTTGCAGCTCTTTCTTCAGTCCTGAAGCTGAAGGGTATGGATGCACTTGGGGACTGTGATTTGTTTCTGCTGGAAGTCATAAACATTGAACAACTGACATGAAAAAACAATAATCAGATGTACTCAAATATCTTGTATGCAATTGATGCATCCTAGGTGACTGCAGAATATTGGGAGACACTGGTAAATCACCTCCCGAAATTAAAATCCTCCACAGCTAACCAATGTTGTTATAGATACGTGGAACTGGACATAGCAGTTGTTTTCTAAGACTTAAAGTCTGAAATAAACTAACTGGACTATAGTAAGCCGCATTATTGCTATATATGATATGGAAAGACATTAAGAAAGTCATTGGATTTGTCTCTTGCTATTATGTTCTATTCCTTGCATCAAGAAAGTCATCTGTATATATATATATATATATGAATGCATGTATTGTGTGTGTGTCCGTATATCGAACTTATTACTCTGTTGGGAGGAAATGCCATTTTGAGCGAACTGTTTTGCTTCCTGATGTTGAAGGGTGAAGAGGTGTTTTTGCCCTGCAATTTGTACATAGTAAAAATATATAACTGGTTAGATAGTTAAAACCACCAATTTTCTTGTCATTCTAACCGATTTTCACAAGGTACCTTCTCTTTTCTGACTGGGGGTGGCTAAAGGATGCTTTGATTCTGCAATAGACACCTGCAGTCAAAAACTTATTTCAATTTAGTATGCATGAAAGGAAGTTGAAAAGGCACTTAAAAAACTGAGTGTAATTCAGAAGTAGCAGGAAAAGAGAGATAGGCACCATCATAGGAGTCCTTGAAGGAGTTGGGCAATCTTTAGATGACTTAGAATTAGAAACAACTCTAGAACTATCAATTTTCCTGATAATTGATGAGGTGATTCTATTAATTTCTCTAACAGGAGCGAAATTCATCGACTTATGAGTTGATTTTGGAGTTGGTCTTCTTCTTTCCACCGAGTCTATTGCATACTTCTTGCTGATTGGAGTAGCAGTGTTTTCTCTTTTCGCACGAACTGAAGCTGCAGGTTTAGCAGGAGTAGATGGCAGCTTCGATGCTTTATCATAAATCGATGACTTGGACGAAAAGACTGCTGGTTTTTTCTTGCTCATCGATGAAGAAGCATCTTTATAAGACATGAAATCCTGCAAAAGAGCAAAGAAATTCAGTTAATGCCCAGAAATTTAAATGTAAAAAAAGAGTTATCTACATGATGCCATTACCTTTAATAGAGGTTTCTCCATTTGTTTTGACACACTAAGCTCCATTTCTTTAACCTGCTCCTTGTTATCAACAAAATTCCCAATCTGGTTTAAAGTTTCGATCTCAACACAATTCTCCACAAGAACCTTGTTTTCGGTCGATGGTTCAGCTTCTTCCACATTGCTGCTTTCAAATCTTTCCATGACAGCATTAGAGTTACAAGCACTGTCATCAGCAACAAAACCTGATTCAGAATTTACTTGTTGGGCATGTATTTCTTCGTGACCTTCAGCTACTTGGAAGTTTATGGCCACTGCTTGTGAAACTTGAGTATTACCAGCTACTTGGGAGTTTGTGGCCTCTGTTTGTGAATCTTGGGTTGTATTATCGGCAATTCGACCCTCATTTTCTGGCTCCAGAGCATTGTTTGCAGCTGCATTTGCTTGCTCGAGCAATGCTGCTGCCTTTCTTGCCGCAAGATTCCTATAATGTGCTTCAAAGAAAGCTTTTTTCTGTGCAACTGAGCCAGGTCTTGAGAATTTCTCAGCCTCTTCAACATATCGGTTATGAGAGAAGCTTGACCATTTCTCCCAAGATAAGGAATCTGACACGAACCTCCCAAAAGAGATCGACTGCCCAAGCGCATGAATGGAGTTATCCTGTTGCAGCAAAAGCAGGAATTCTGAAAACCAAGTCCTTGTTCAATTAATTTCACCATGTTATACCCCGTCTATAGTCTGAAGATCATCGACACTTGGCCCATTAGAACACAGACAGACAAACAATAACGACAAAGCGAGTGCATCTTTTTGAAGAAACCCATTGCAGAAAAAACTGATGAATCTCTTTTGGTTTCTTGTTAAATGTAAGATAGAAGTTAAAGTTGAAACGTTAAGCAACTAAATTTAGAAGCAGTAGTATGAAAAGGAGACATAAATCAGCAACCCATCACTCCTTTTCAATAAATAATTAGAACCCAATTATTGCAAAAACATTAGCAAGTGAAGAAATGCAGTTTGATGAACTGACCTCTTTGGCATCATTGGAAATGCCTGCAGTGTAAGAGAAGGGCTGCATGACACAAGTTGCGTCCCCCATGACTTCGGGTGGTGTTGAAACCTCAAAAAGATCCAAACTTTTGATCTCCATGGTCTTGTTTCTATATATGTACTGTTTATGTACTCCGCTCATAAGTAAACGATTTGAATTTGAATTTCAAATGGAAAAGGGCAACATTATTGGGTCCATGCATGCCATGGAAAAGCAGGCAGAGGCAATAAACAAATGGGAGAAAAGAAAAAAGCAAGGTGCAACTTTTATAACTATGTATGGAAATTAGAAAAGTACCAATCTTTCTTTTTGTTTTCTTTTTCAACTTGGTATGGGGCCCACATAGTCTGTGCGTGATGGATCCTTTCAAGGCTACAACGTCCGAAAATGTTGGCTAGTTTTGAATTTGAAGAACACAACAAATATGCTCTAGGCTTGGTTTTTGTGTATGCTTAAAAGTTGGACAAACCTCAAAAAAGTCTCCGCCCTATCTATACCTATAGGGTTCATCAACCTTCTTATTTTTCATTATCCAAAATATGAGAAATATAATGGGCATGTCATTTTTGCTTGTCATTTGTTGTTTACAATGCATGCTTGAAAATTTGAAACTCTGGATGTCAAAGAGCTTGTAAACCATTGATCGTAGTTTTTTATAATAATAGATTATGAATTCAAATTTTAATTAATTAATGATTTTTTATAATAATAGATTATAAATTCAAATACTAACATATTAGTTCTGAATTCTTGGGTAAAACAAAAAAAAATTTGAAATCCTGTTAGATTTTAGAAATGAGGGCAAAAAGGACTAGAAAGAACATTCTATTTTGCTGCACCAAAATTCTACGATTGTGAGAAAGTTTTGTCATTTATTTACATTACGTTGGACCGTAATAAAAATATAGTGCTATCCCTCACTTCATCAAATCTGAATTAAACTTTAAGGTCGTTGTTTGGTAATAAGGAATAGAGTGATGAGAATGAAAATGCGGAAATCGAAATGAAAATTAAGGAATCAAAATGATATTTATATTTCAATACCGTGTTTGAAATACTTATAAGGAATCGAATGCAAGTTAAATTTTTTAATATCTGATTTTTTATACAAATAAAAATAATAATTAAAAAATAATTTTATTAAACTATAATAGTTGTAAAAATAATAAAGGTGATTGTGGTTATGATAGTGGTAGTTCTAGTGGTGGTGGTGGTGGCGATAATGATTACGGTAGTGGTGGTTGTAATGATTGTGGTGACGAGTTGTGGTTGTTATAATGGTGGCGGTGGTGGTAGTGATGATGGTGATAAAAGTAGTTAATAGATAATAAATAAATAAAATATATTATTATTTTGAAAAAAAAAATCATTCATATTCCTTGTTTTTTATTCCTACATCTTATGTGAGAATGGAGTTGTGTGTAAATTTTCATTTTCATTTCCACTTCATTTCTTTTGACTAAACAACTACAATGTAAGAATAAAACTTTCATTCGCATTGTCATAATTCTATTCTTGATTACCAAACAATGCCTAAGTACACAGAAATGATTTAATAGTTTTTGAAATATATTTTAAAATTCAAATATTCTTTTACGCCACTAATTGCCTATAAGAATTCCAATATTTTGCTGCACCAATATTCTTTTTCTAGGGACGCCTTGGTCAAACCCTAGAAAAAAAGTAGCACAGGTCATTTTGGTCATTTTACATTTTCTCCTCTCTTGCTGAAAGAAACAAAAGAGGAGTTATGAATGCTAACAGACTTGAAATTGCTGATCTAATGGCATAAAATGGTTCAATTTTTTTTACTACTTTCTCTATTATTTTAAATTTCATTAATTAAAATATTTCAATAAAACTAGACGTTAGAACAAAAAAGATATTTACTAAACAAACCTGACCCAAAAAAAAATTCCAGAAAAAGAGTCAATGGTAGAAACATTGACCAATGATTGAGTGACATCTGTCCCATACGGTAAGAAATTCAAATTTAAGGACAAATTTCCTGATAGACTGTGTCTGAATATTCTCCCACCGCAGCAGTGGTCATGTGGCTAATAAATAAGCAATGCTTATAGTAAAAAACGAGGGTCGATAACGTTAATGAATGCCATGACAAGTAATGATCATCTCATCCAGTCCTTGTAATCTGATCAGATAATGAGAGATTCACAAAGAAAGATACCCAGAAACGGAGAGATCTATTGATCATTGGCCAACTTTCAGAGCAGCTTTGGGAAGTGACATGCAGTGTGATGAACTCAAACTCTAAATTGCAAAAATGGAGGGAGCAACAAAAAAATAGTTTATAGCCTTCGATTGTTTCTTCTATTACATTGTTTTAGCTTTCAAGTGAAAAATAATTTTTTAAAAAATAGTTACATGGTCTAAATTACAGCTTACAACATTAATGGAATGCCAGGCAAAACTTTTCTCTAGTAGTAGCATCAGAATAATCTACGGTGTTCTGTAGCATCAGGATAAGCTCCCCAAATTTTCTTGAGAAATGCTCTAGCATGCCAACCTCAATAAATCGTTGTACACCGCACCCCAAAAGTTAAGGTTACAAAGATGTTTCAGTATTGCGAAGAACCCGATCACGGCCACTCATATCCATGAATCCCGAGTAAGATGATCTTCTTCTGCTTTTATAAGTTTTACTCTTACTTCCCTTGCTTCTACGGCCTGAAAACACCATGAACATGACAGCCAAGAAACCTAAACCCGAAATCACCCATAGAGCAACAGCCCAGAACCTCAAAGAACCAAATAGCCTTTCTTTTGGAACAGGTGGAGATGATTCCTCGAATTTTTTTGTGGGCACAGGGTTACTTCTCACAGCATTACGTCCATCAATCCTGCCAAATTTCCTTGAACTTGAATCTTCCTTCCCCTTATCCTGCTTTGAGGTGGATAAGGAGTGGGGATCAGGGCAATTTCTCTTCTTATGATGCAGGTCTAGAGCTTTATTTAGTGTCTTTCCACATTCTATGCTAAGTAGGTCTCTTTTGAAGCTATTCTCATCAGACCGATCGAGTGTTGAAGGGTCGGGCGGATCTGGAAACTTAGCCCAGCATTTGTTGACCACATCAATATCTCTCCAGTTTGCCTTGTCAAAGCTCCAATTCCCAACTTTAAACTCTAAACCATAGTGGAAAACCCTATACTTAACACCACGCTCAGGGACATAACCTGGATATATTAAAATCTCGCTGTTTATGTGGTGCTGCAGTTTCAGCTGCATGTACAAAGAATAAATGAGTAGAACGCAACAGAACCAATCATTCCCAAGTAGAATTGAAACAAAACAGAAGTATGGGAAACAGGACAGCATAACTCATTTGAAGTTCGCATGCTCTGAAAAAATAAATAATGGATACTGAGCATCCATCCTTTTTTTTTTTTTTTTTTTTGAGAATTTTGGAAGCACACATCGTTGCCAGTATACCAAAGCTACTTCTCAGAAACTACATAAACAAGTTTCTCCCAGCAGATAGGGTCTTTTCTGTGTAGCATACCAGACCATAAATATAGGTAACAGAAGGGATTCAAAGGACTTGAAATACCTCTGCTGCACCAAATGAGTAACCATACATCTCACTAATCCAGCCTGATGCATAAATATCTCCAGTGATATTTGTAGCATAATGAGCTTTGTCAGCCCGCACCTCCTCGGTCTTATGCAACCATAGCATGGCAAATTTTCTGAGATCATCTATATGCATGATGATCACACCCCCAACCTTGTCACAAGCTTCCGGATGGCTTGTATGGAGTTTAGCAAGCTCATTGTCACAACCAATAAGGTAGCTAACATACAAAGATTATAAAAGTTTGTTAGCCACAAATATCATGCTCATGCAACAATAAGAACAGGCTAGCAACCAAAAAAGGAAGAGGGAGGGAGAGGAGGGTGAGAGAGATGCAGCGACATTCAAAATCATGCATAACTTCCTTGTACACTTAACCTGCCAGGGGCACAAATACTTGACTTACTCATAGGGAGTTGAAACAGGACGGCCACGTGCAGCTTTGAACTCCCATGGTGTAATTGGACCTCTCAAAATCATGTCAGCATCAAGAATAACTATAAATTCAGCGTCAATATCAGCATGATTAAGCCAATGAAGGACAGCAGCTGGTTTATTAATTGCTGGATACCTGATATGGACAAAGGGAATGTTTATAATTGGCTCTGTAATTCACGATATGTTCTTTCTAATATTGCACATATGCCCAAGTGTGGAAAAGAGGAGGTGGGGAAGGGGGAGCAATTTCCACTGCAATGGTACAATCTTGGGGAGGCAAGCACAAGGGCACTGATTCAAATACTGGAGAGCAGAGACTACATGCATGATTGCTAAAAAGAACGACAAATCTATATTGTCACTGATTCAGCAGGTCTAGCCATTTGAGCAGGTGAATTGGCATTTATCAGTTTTATTACTGCAAACTTTCAATTATTAACTTTAGAGGCAGCTGGTAGAGCTTTTCAGGTAAAGCAATCTCCTAGGAGCGGGTGAGGTCTTCAGATTTCTTGAAAAAGCAGCACTTGATATTAGTGGCAATTATATAAATGGCATGAACATGATGGGTAAGTTATGACATGACTTGACATTGTAATGTACAAGTGCTGGAAATAGCCTAAATTAAAACAGAATGCTAACAATCAGAGGCAAGAGATAACAGGTATGAGGATAAGAATAATACCAATCGCCTGTCAGGGGATGGCGGCTCATGGAAGGAACATAATGGGTGGGAGCAAGATCGTGTCCTGCATATCGTTTTAAGTCTTCATCCGTACAGCTGAGAAGCCGTGTTATATTTCCAGGCTGACCACTCAGGTGGAAACTGTGGACAAGGCCCACAGTCTGCCAATCAAAGTAAGGAATGCATTCTGTGGAAAATATGGTGTGGATTTTTGGATGTGGTCTCTCAGAATCATCAACAGCCTGCTGCTGGTTTGCAGCCTCCTTGGTTTCTATACTACCAGAAGCAAGAAATTTTGGCCGAGTTAGATCAGCAAAAGTTTTGCTCTTTAAAAAGCTCAAGTACCTTGACCATTTGGGCTTAGAACATCCATTTGAAGCATGCTGTAACAAAAGACCCTCATTCAAAGTGTTTATACACTCTAAATTTAAAAATAAGGCTCGCCTTTTATCCAAATCAGATGCCATCAACCGCACCTGCAAAAGACGAAGGACATTATTTCATCCACACTGTTTCCAGCATAAAGCATATAGTTTCAACATATTAAGAAGAGAACCTTGATATTTCAGTTGATGATAATGTAGTGTGCTACATAATCAAACAACATTCAGCTGGCAATAATGTAATGTGTATAATCAAACAAGCATTCAGACTTTTAGTTTAGGTCAATGTCTTGTTAGGGCTTATCCAAAAGGCAGCCATAACAAACTATTGATTATAGTTCCCCAAAAAGAAGATCCCTGCAAAAGATGTGATTTGGAAAGAACTGAGCAGGCTTCTTCCAAACACATAGTTTCATTCACTAAGAAACAGCCAAATTATTTAATTCTTGGTTCACAAACCTCTCTAGGATAAGGAGGCTCAGGAAATAGCCGACCACAATCATAGACGATATCATCTTCGTGGTGATCCAATTTACTAAAAGACCAATTCCCCACACTAAATGGTAAGCCATAGTGTATAAGAATAGGCTCAACATTCTTTCGTGGAATATAGCCCGGATAGATCATCAGGTCATCACTAATCTTGTGCCGAAGTCCAACCTGGAAATATAAAGATAACAAAACACAGCATATAATTGAATGTTTCAAGACAACAGAAATAGTGGTAACATTTCTTGTTTCAAAACCAAGCCAACAAAGCAACTTACTTCAGCCGCACCAAATGAGTAGCCATACATCTCACTTATCCATCCTTGCCCATAGATGTCGCCGGTTATATTGGTTCCCCAGTGAGCTCTATCTCCACGCACTTCTTCTGTCTTTGAAAGCCACATGGGTGCCAACGCTCGAAGATCATCTATGTGCATGGCTAAAAGCCCGCCAACCTTGTCACAGAGTTCGGGGTGCCTTGTGTGCAATTTAGCTAAAATATTGTCACATCCAACCAAATACCTGAAAAGAAATCCATCATATAGCAACAATCACTAATATCAAGATCGGCAGGGAGATAATGATGGGATCTACAGATTCCAAACACAGGTTCAACTTAAATCATCATCTAAAATTCAGATGAAAAATCAATCAAATTACAAATTGTTCGTGTTCCTCTGAAAAGGGTATCTTTTACAAGCCATTACAAGTGCAAACAGAGTAATAAAAAAATTTCTAAGCATTATCTGTAGGCAATAGCAACTTCATTATACGGTGATATGAAGAGAGAGGATATAAATTTTCAACAGAATAACTTTAGTTGACAAATAAAAGCTAGTACCCATAATATGCAGCAACAGGCCTGCCTTTCTCTGCACCAAGTTCCCAAGGGATAATTGGACCTCTAATGATCATGTCTGCATCTAAAATGACAACCCAATCAACGTTATCTGCATCTTTACTATGTTTAAGCCAGTGGACTATTCCAGCAGGTTTGTTGATTGCAGGGTACCTGCAGAAATATAAAAAACGTATTACTTTATGTTTCCTTTTATCCAGCATGAGGAAACTCCAGAAGAGCTTCGCATTTTTCCTGAATAAAAAAAAAAAGCTGAAAGAAAGTACATTGGTAGAGCAAGAAGAGAAAAATTAGTTGAGATTTAACAAAATATATGTTTGCATAAATGATCTTAAAGTTGTATGTATAATAATATCAGAATGTTTCTTACAAGGAAAAAATATCAAGTAGAATAGGAGAAGGATTGATGATGTCGCATGTAGAAAATTAAGGGGAAGCTTAACTATATATGATTAGTGCAAATCAAACAAAGAAAGAAAACTTGGAAAAGGGAACAGCCATTTGATGCCACCAATTTCCAAGTGAACAGTCATCTTAATCCCACCCATTATGTGATAGCAAAATGCTTGATTCAGAATACTACAATTCATGTAGCTTCTTGGAAACGGAGTGGTGGTACATGAGAAAAAATACACGTCTTTTTTTAATATTAGATATAATCAAATTTCATATCAAAGATAGTTTTAAACCAATCCACAAACAAGCAGTTAACAGTCGCAATCCTCATCATTCCTCATGTTCTGCAGTTTTATTCAAGGATCTATAGCAGCCTCTCATGTTGTCTGATGCAGAATTTTGGCAATGCATTCCTAGACAAGATCCTTTCTAGCCCCTTCACCTTTTCCCTCGAACATACAATATCATTCTTTCTTCTTCTTCTTCTTCTTCTTTTACTATTTAACAGAATATCATATCCAAACCTTCTTCACACATGATTTTTCTATTCAAACGTTTTCTTTTTCTTTTTCCTTCTATAATTTTCTCTAAAATCTTAATTATCTCAGGCAAGGCATTAGGCAAGTAAGATTAGAAGTGGATATCGTCCATTGTTCAAATTAATATTCGATAACAATAAAACAATAACATGCTGATCCAACTCGTAATGCCAACTACTAACAATAAAAAAGCTCCAAATTTCATGCAAGAAAATTAAGCATTAAAATGTTAAAAGGAAAAAACAAAATGATCACAGTTTAAGTAATAAAAAAGAAAAACAGATTGAGAAATCCACAAAATCCAAACATTCTTTCAATCAAACAACAAAAGCAAAAAAGAAACGAAACTCACCAATCACCAGTTTTGGGATGTCTACTCATAGAAGGAACTTCAAAAGTTGGTGCTAAATGCATCCCTCTATAGTTCTTCTTCTCCTCATCCGTACAACTCAATAATCTGGTAATAGGTCCGGGTTGCTGTGCCTTCTTGAAACTATGCATGAGCCCCACTGTTTGCCAATCAAAGTAATTCTGGCACTCCACAGAGAACAAAGTATGGATCCTATACGGAGCCTCTTGCTCCAAACCCGACCCGCCATCAATCCAAAACCAAAAACCCACCAGCATTAAAACCGTGAATGTAGCCATGGGAGCTCAAATCCAAGGCTTGATTTCAAATGGGTTTTTCTCAAAGATCTAGCTTTCATTGAATATGTATCGAATTTGACAAGTCAAACATTAAAAAATATAAATCTTTCTGTTTCTCTCTCAAAGCAGAAAGGAGTAGGTAGTGAGGACCAGGAAACGGTGGCTAGTAGGACATTATTATTTAGTAATGACAACCAAATGTATTATTCATTTATTAACTAACAGTTTGTCAAAGGCTAAGTTTCTTTCATTATTTGCTTTGGGTCATAGCAATGGAAATGAAATCTTCTGTACCGTCGTTGCTAACTGGGATGTTTGAAACGACCTCGTTTCCGTACCAAGTTCCTTTGTGACTATATAATTTTTTTTTCCTTTTCCCAAATTTTAGTTATATTGTAAGCCTCAAAATACTTTAAGCCACACAATGACATATAATCATTTTCGTTTTTATTATTAAAAAATTAAATTCATTTGGACTTAAATTTGCTATATTGAAGAAATATAATAAGTATGCAATTCCTAGGTTAAAGTTGTTTATACATGTAACTAAAATTTTCATAGATAGTTTTTTAAAATCAAACTTTGTTGTGCACAATTAAAATTAAAAAATCTTTTAATTTACCAAAAGTAATAATTTGATAATGAGATAGCATGTTTTATTCTCAAATTTATTCTAGGTCCAAGCCCAATGAATTGAATGCAAGATTTAAGAATAATCTATCATTGTTTTGAAATAGACTTATTAGTTAATCTTATTTTAAGACTCATTGATTTAAACCTCTTTAAAGAAGAATCAACAATCAATCATCTAAGTCTCATATGCATATAAAAAACTCAATTCGCATATGAAAGGTATAATCGATCATCCAAAACTCGAAACAAGTAGAGTTCTCTCTTAAAATAATGAGAGTCGGACTTTAGAATTTGATATAAAATGAAAATTTCATCTTAGTAAAGTCGGATAGTTAACCGTTAATATACAGGTAATTAAGAGAGTAAAAAACTTTCAATAACAATAAAACACAACCCTAAATAACTGGAAGGAATGAAAAGAATTACAAGCATGGAAGAACAACAAAGCAAAGCACTACAGGTGCAAGAAAAGAAGACATGAATGCATTTCAAAGCTAGCAAAGAGAAATATGAAGCACAATAGCCTTCCTTAGAGAAAATGGCCCATTACTCGGAGGTTATGGAGCAACAAAAGGCTTATAAATGCCAATTAAAATTTAGAAGAACACTTATAATAATACAATAAACAAATATACTCTTGCAAACAACTCAAAAAGCATTTTCAATCACAAGTTTTACACTTGAAACTTGTTAGGGGTAGCTTACAAATGATAACCTTATCAATCACAAGTTTTACACTTGAAACTTGTTAGGTAGTAGCTTGCAAACGATAATCAATAGACGTCAATCAAGTAGGTGATAGCTCATATGTTGATTATTGATCCTCTAACCATTTGCTCATGTTCACATACATTGTCCTCTACAATTCTTCTATCCATTGTTATATATGAAGTGTCGTCTCGTGGATACTCATTATTTTTATTTATTGTAAGTTCATTTAATTAAACATTATACGAGATTGTAGTATTTTTAATGTTTTATGAAATTGCCAAAAAAAATTTCTATATTGTAGACCTTTAATCTTCTTGTTAATTTTTTTTTTAAATCTACAGTTTATTCTTTCAATAATGTTATTAAGGTTGTGTATTATATTAGAAAGCTTGAATTCTATCTTAATTTGTAATTTATTTTTAGTTATTTGCCCTTAAATTGTGTAATCCAACTAGTTGGGAGGCCAAGATTTCTCTACAAGAGGTCTCTAAGACTATTATTGTAATGTCCGTTGCCCAAGACGCCTTACTCGAAGGGTTATAGACATACGAGTCTCTACTAAAACCTATATCATTTCATTATCCTTTAACCTTGTTCCTAATTTAATCTCATTCATCATTAAACATGCTTTCCAATCATTTTTAACTTTTTTTTTAAAAAAAAACCCTTGTAGTTGAGGCCAAAATCAAAGAACCTACAATAAATGTCATGATAATGAAGAGAAAGAGAGAGCATTCCATAATGTCATGGGTTTTATGACTAAAACTAGGAATGAATCACATGATTCATCCTTGTATTCTTTAGATTTTATTAATGTCTTATCTAAACTCTCATTTTTATTTATCGAGTTTTCCTATTCTTTATATTTTTTTTAAACTAACCCTTTTGATGAGATTCTAGTTAATTTTTTTGGTAGCAAGTGACATATGGCATGACATGTTAGCTAAATATGACACATGCTAAAAAATTTAAAATTATTTATAAAAAAAGAACATAAGAAAATTATTGGTCAAATATGTGTGTGCATATATATCACATTTTGCAAGAGGTCTCGGGCTATCCTCCTAGGTGGCTAGTTCACATGTCCGGCTTGGGTTGATGCGCATTCAAATTAAAAAATGCTTGCAATTTTCAAACAACTCTCAAAGCACTCTCTTAAGTTTTAACACTCTTGAAACTTGTTAAGTTATAGTTTGTAAATAGTAATTTATAAGACAATAATCAAGTAAGCAATATTCAAGTAGGTTAGATAGTTCGATTCTTATTTCTCATATTGTATCCATGAATCATGATTGTGATCTTCAAAAATTGAATTCTTGAGGATATATGATGGCTAAAGCTTGATCATCAATGAATGTAACTTTTTCTTTTTAATCTAGTACACTCGTTAAGTTTGTAACCTTATTTTTGGAACGATCATGCATCCTTTAGAGGTGCGGAATAAAAATGAAAATTTTCTCCATCTAAAGTGGCCCAAGATCATGCCGTTCAATTAACTAACTATATATTTATAAATTAAAGTGATGAATAGAGAATTACATCTTGTAGTGTAGATTTAAACCCTTATAGAAAAGTGTTGTCCAAGTGTCTAGCCTTTATCGATAATCCACAAAGTCCAAGCATCCACAAAAAAAACACTCAAAATGGATAGTGTGGTAGCTCTACTTTTCCGACTTATTTAGTGTTTTCTATAGAAATCTAATCGGGATAATTTTGCGACAACCCAAAGAGAAGAGGAAAGTGGTGTATGCTAGGGTTTCGGGAGAAAACTATTTTCTCTTTTTATTTTTTTTCTCAAGCCGTGTACATGAGCTTTATTTTTACTCATGCCGTTCTCTCTCTCTCTCTCTCTTTTTTCACTTATTTTCGTATCTCTCCTCTTATTTATTGGGGGAGAATTTTCTTGTCCTTCAATGACAAGGAAGGGGGCGACAACTAGTCCTAATTAGACTCTTGGTTGTTGCTTCATAATCCTCTAAGTATCAAGAGTTATTTAACATGTGAGCTTTTGATCTTTATCTTTAAAAAATTCATCTTATTTAATAAGGTTCATGTTTATCCTTCAACTAAAATATTTTTCAGGCTTTTCATTAAACATATTGGCCCAAAACCATTTTCACCCAATTAATTAATTTAGACTATCCAAATAAATTAAGTTAGATAATTCTAGGTAGCCCACATTAGGAAACAATTTTTCTAAAGTGGGCACAAAATCATTTTGGCCAATTAATTAATTTAGATTATCCAAATAAATTAAGTTAGATAATTTTAGATAGCCCACATTAGGAAACAATTTTTCAAAATATCTTTAAACCTAAATTAGGAAACTAATTTTCATTTTAGGTTGTTTAATCCCAAATTTGGAACTAACTTTCAAATTAGAAAACTAATTTCTAAAATAAAAAACTTTCTATTTTAGAAAACTTTCCATTTTCGATAACCTTTTTCCAAAATAGAAAGCTTTCATAATTGGAACTTTTTTCAAAATTTTTGCTTCTCTTTAATCATGTGAATGCTTAAACTTATGCGTGTGACTTAATAGGTTCCTAGATATGTTTGCAATGTATCAAGAATAAAAGATATCTCTTTTATCTTTTGATACATAAGTCAAGATTGATCTCTAGCAAGGCATCATGACTATCTAATTTTCTAGAAGGATTAATTAATTCACAATTACCTTTCACGATTATGGTTACCATATAATTCAGTCTTCATGTCAACTTATCATAGTGTGACCTCGAACTTGGTTATTAGTCTTATTCGATTATTATCACATAAGTTTTTTTATTCCCAAATGTCTTAGCTCGTAGAGTAAACTAACTAGTAAATCAACTATACTCTATTGGTGTACTCCTATTATGGTTATAGATTTCTTGAGCAAAAATTCATCAAAATACAATGTGATAACTCATTTAACATACAAGGAATGACGTGTCCTATCTAAGTCATCCACCTACCTTCATTAGATTTCTAGTGCACTCAACAAATTATCCACGTGCAACCTTTTATTAGATCCATCGAAATGAGTATCAAAGTACATAAATCCTCCAATGAGATCACCATGATAACTCCAAATCCAAGGACTAGTTATACCCATTTTGTATGAGATTCTCATATACTAAACCAAATGAATTCTCATGGTAGTCAAGTTCGAGTAATATGTTATTTAACATAAAACACCTAAGTGCTTGGGTTGGCATCATCATGCCAATAGGTGTAAGATCTCGTATCGCTATCATATAGCATGAGCATAACACTCACAAGTCTAATCATATCTAGTCAATGTTCATTCTTGACAATACTACAACTTGGAATATGTAATGATATCATTTATGTGCATTAGTGTTTGTCTCATATTGTTCGATTAATCACTATTGTAAATGCATATCATAAAGACTTCTATCTAATTCTACTAAATTAATAAAGATAAAACATAAGAATTAATAGAATGGTTTCTTTATTATTAATAAAATAAATGATGCAATAATATAATAATTCAAACATATCCAAACATTGTTAGATCTTAGGCACCTATACTAACATTTTTCTAGTCCAAAATTGTTTAACCGTAAAATTTATAGTTTAAAAGTGTGTTTTTTTCATTGCAAATTAGCTTAGGAGATTTAAATTATTTTAAACAATTAAAATCTTTATGTTTTAAAATGGATTTTACACATATCGAGATCTTGTATAATTTATTTTTTTTATTGAGACCCTAAGTTTTTTTTCTATCCAATTTAAGAGTTCTACTCTTAGTTATTGTTGTTTCGGACCTAATGTGTCATGTAATCACACATGGCAAGCTCTAGTCAATGACAACTTACCACGTGTCATGATGGCCCTAACTAGATGATTGAATTAGTGATATAGCAAGTCGTCATTGGTTAGAGCTTATTATGTGTGCTTATATGGCAAGTCGTCATTAGTTAGTGGTCTGAAACAACAACAACATAAGAGTAAAACTCTTATATTGGATAGAAAAAAAATTAAGGTCTCAATAAAAAAAAATTGAATTGTACTCGGATCTCAATATGCGTAAAACTCATTTTAAAATATGAATGATTGAGTAATTTTAGAACTTTTTATTTGTTAAAACACTTTGAGTAACTTTAAGAAATTTTATATTATATCCTTTTATAATTCAATGGTAATTTTTAAAAGGAAAAATATAATTTTGTCAATTTAGATAAAAAATTTTAAATGAAATTTGAAAACTTAAATACTATACAATGAAATTATATATATATATTTGATTCATCAAAAAGTTTAATAGATTTTAGATTACATAATGGAATATAATCTTCTCTCATTACATAGTAATCAAATAAACTAATCACTCAAACCCAAACCTTATAGTATATATTACCACACAACCATTATGCTATGCCTTCTTATATTACATTATATGTGTTACTAATTCCAAGGAGGTTTGTGGTCAAGGAAGTTTGCTCCGTTCCTTGACTCTCGAAGCATAAATCTTGGGATCAATATGCGGGATGATTAATTAAATTCCTCTTAATAAATAAGGTCAATGTAAAAAATGCATCCTTAAGATCTACGAAAAGAGAACTTAATTCTAATTGATATGCAAGTCGATTAACAAGTAATCTTTATTGTCGAATATAAAAAACCACTTCATATGTTATTGATGAATAATGTTGAGTTTATAATGTTCAAAATTCATAAGAATTCTTATTTGCAATTTAAATTAAGAAGCTAATCAAAATATAGTTCTTCCGTAAAATTATAGTTGGAGTGAGACTTTTTTACTCACTTGCATATCCCGGCTTCCTTGCTTTATTCTCATTCACCCTCAAGTTGTAACCTTTAAAAAAGAGATGGAATTGGCATTTATAGACAAGAGCAAATCAATTTATAATAAATTACTAGAGAGAGAGAGAGAGGCTTTTTTTGTACCCAACCTTTTAACTTTTTTCTATTTTGGTGCATAACCGTTGATTTCTCATAGTTGACTACCTAAGTTTTGATTTTTTATTTGTTTTGGTGCCCGAGTTCACTCGAATCCTAATTTTACCGATATGTCCGGCAAGATCTTCCATGTAGCGATAAAAAATGCCACAAGACAGATTGACTCTACCACGTCGGCACATCATACTTTTAGATAGATATAGACATTCAAATAGAAAAAAAATAAAATAAAATCAAAAGTTAGGCATTGAAATAATTAAAAAAAAATAATTAAAGATTCGGCACCTAAATAGGAAAAAAAATATATTAATGGCTAGACACCAAAAATATAGTTTTCTCACACTAAATGTTTATCCCCTTCTTCTACTATGATATATCTTTCCTTTCCTTTATTATAAATAGATTTCATGCATTTCTTGTGCTTCCATAATCTTTATATATATAATCTTTCAAAACTTCTTTTTGATATTAAAAGTCATACAATTTTAAATTCTAAAAACATCGGTAATTACATGCATTCATATTTTCTTATTATTATACTAATTGCACGAGCAATTTTAACAATGCATTTACTTGTTAGCTTAATTCATAGTTTACTTATTGTTTTTATCATTATTGTCATCGCTATAAAAAATATTACACTTTAAACACTTAAATAAAAAAGTTTGACCACTAAATTTATTTATGTTAATTATATCCCATCTCGGTTTACTATAAGAAATTTAAGAAGTTATTGACTACAATAAGGTTATGACACCCATGATATGTTGGTCAATTTTCTCCCTAGACAGAGGAAGCAATTTTTATTTTTTGTAACTTTATCCATTTACCAACCATTTGTTTCATAAATGGCAATCATAATTGGATCCGTATGTCTTTTATTTTTTCTAAATTTAATTTTAATTGGATCTTATATATATTTAGATTAAATGACATAATTTTAAATTTATCTAGATATGTAAAAGGATTTAATTTTTTTTTAAAATAATTTTTAAGCGATACAAAATACTAAAAATTACTATTGATAAGTAAAAAAATTATCACCATTATGATATGAAAAATATTTATTAAAAATTGTTTGGCTAATTTTATAATCTCGAAACAATAAATTTTTTTTAAAAAAACCGTATCTTGGGTACCCAATCTTTAATTTTTCTTTTTAATGCCTAAATTTTGATTTTTTTATTTTTTTTCTATTTAAATGCTCTTAGCTATATAAAAGTATGAGGTGCCGATGTAGCAGAGTTGACTATCACATGATATTTTTTTATTGTCACGTGATAGATTTCACCGGACACATAAGCAAAATCAAGATTTATATGAAATCAAATACCAAAACAAACAAAAAATCAAAACTTGAGTAGTTAACCAAGAGAAACCTAAGGTTGGGCATCAAAACAGAAAAAAATAAAATTGTAAGGTTAAACACAAATAAAGCCTCTCTAAATTACTATTAGATGCAATTAATATGCCATATGACCACAGGACTTCCATTAAGATGACAGAAATTACGTAGGAGTAAACTGCATTTACATTTCCTTCTTACTAGATATCTTTATTGCCGAATGATCTTTCTAATTAAAAAAAAAAAAAATTCAATAGAACAGTAGCACAATCAAGGAGCAGGCTCGGTGGTAGGAATCACAAGTCAATTACAGTCACCAGCATGCACAGGGAAATTCTGCGAACTACTGACCTTTTTCAGCCATTGCAACATTATATTCCGAAAACTACTAGTGTCATTACGATACTGTTTCCAAAAGACTAATCAAAGTTGTCAAACTAAGAGACCGATACTACACTAATCTGAGCAAAATGAGCATTTACAGCGTCAAGAATTTGCCATTTCAGCTATGGCCGACTACATCTGTAAATAGTTCTTAAGGGATAATCTGCCATGCTGAAAAAACTTAGTCAAAAATATTCAAGTTAATCTATCTGTAGATGCTTAAAAGTAGTCTCCAAATCAGCCTTGTCCTCCTTTGCCTTTTCCTCTGAGTGATTCAACTGCTTCAACTCTTTTTCACATTTTGTGGCACATTCTACCCTTCAACTACTTCACCTGCAGAGTCCACTTGCACTAACTCCTCATTGGCCATGATTAAAGATCCATCCTTGGCCTTCTCGATTTGTTGCTCAGAGTCCGGAAGCCTACACAAAAAGATGATACTCACACATTAACTAACAAGTTACGAACAATCACACATTCTCTCTTTTTGAAATTAGAAAGGAAAATTTCTTAAAATGTTGTCTAACAAAAAGAATAGATGGTTCGGACTCAAACCTTTCATATGGGACAAACCATCATTTAGATGCTTTTACCTAGATTTGTTCATCATAGATTGTTGAACCATCACTACTGAAACTGTAAAAGGGCATTTTCAATGCAATTAATCTGTGGATGTCAATGGCTGACGTCTTAGTTAAATGAATGATTTCTCCTGATTTAAGATATGTTTTAATCACTGAAATTATTAGTTTCCTAACAACACCAACAACCTTCCTTGCCACAAGAAACTACACCTAATATTCAGATGCATAACCACATTGTATCGCACAAACCAAGAACTTTCAAATACCATCTAGCCAGTAACATCACAAAGAAAAAAAAAAAAAAGGTCCGTGATAAAAGGGAGTAAGAGAATAGGGGAAACCTTGAAATGAACACTTAAATAGAACCAAACATCAATCTAGGCACCACCATTTCCCAGACACCAATAAACACAGCTTGTACAATCAATCAGAACAACACAGATGGTGGAATGTGGTTTAATAGAAAGCATGATGAGAAATCTCGATCAACCCTTTGACCTTAGTGCAACTGATGAGGAATGTTTCTTCAGCAGAGGAAAGACGACGAAGGGGGAGGGGATGGTTATAAAGTTGGTTTTGCATGGACAGGCTAGCTAGAACAAGGTATTTGCAGAGCAAATGTGGGGCATGTGGCAGTGGTGGGTAGGAATGTTTATCTTTGATCGAGGAATTTGTACCTTCCATCAGGATACCATGTAATACACTTTCTTATAGTGCATAAAGGGAGCTGTAGCTAACAGACTATGCATGCGGATCACTTCTGTAGCTAACAGAATATGCATGCGGATCACTTCTGTAGCTTCATATCCATATCCCTGTACATGCGTTGCTACTACACTACTAAAGAAACTGGCAAACCGGAACTCTTGAAAAGCAAAAGTGACTAAGCAAAGAAAGTCCAAGAAACATAGAGAACCTTTTAAGTTAGAAGATCAAAGGTGAAATCCCTCTTTCAATCAATTATATACCACAGAAATGAAATTCCAATCCAAAAATATTTATGCGTTCACCATAATCCAATTTGCTTTATTTGTGCACCATCAATCACACAAACATAGCAAACATTGACACCTAATTTAGACTGCAGAGTTAGATGGGGCAGGTATAAAAAATATACTCCTAGAGCTCTAAAATACTGAAAGAGTAAAGGGAATGGCTTCCAAATTAACATATAAAAAAGACCAAGTTCATCAATTCTAAAAATCATATGCATCAGATATGTAGCTGGAACAGTACATAGCATGTGTTTGATTTATTTTCTAATACTGCTTTCAAATGCTTAGTAAATCAAATCAAACATCAACCAAAACCTAGAGAAAAAGTTATTTTAAAAGAAAAGGCATCTCAAGTGAGGTTTGACAGTCAAGTTCAGGTTTGCCCAAGTTGTACCAAGTACATAAAAAACAAAGCAAATATTTTAAAGCTTAGTGAAATTGAAAAAGTGAGAAATGGCTCTTACTTTCTTTCCTTTTCTTACTTGCAGTCTGATCACACCTCTTATCATCTGATTCCTTTAGCAAAACTAGACTCTCTTTGTAACCATCAGCATAGAAAGAAACATAGAACTTTCCAAGTTCAACAATTACTTGACTTTGAGTGTTAAATGAAATCAGGTTACCACCTGTTTCGATTAAGATGTCACCATTCTCTCTAAAACCTTTAGGCCATCCCATAAATATTCTTAGGTCAATACTGAATTCTTTAGTCCACGATTCCTCAACACCATATTCTTTCATCACCCACACATGACAACAACCTTGAGCCCCCTCCATTAAAGCAAGGGATTTTTGGAGTACCGAAATACTGGGATTCTTGCTAGCCAAGCATTCAGGAAGCATTATCTCATCAAAAGACTCATCACTCAAATCAAAAGAGAGAGCAAAGCTCTTCTTCTTGCCATTGACCACACGATATACAAGCCAATAAACAACCCCATCAATAAAAACCTGCTTCCCCTGATCTGAATGCATTTGAAACAAACCAAGACTAATATCAATGCTCCTCCAAGACCTTGCATTAAGGGAGTAAACTGCAACTTTAATTGGTCGTTTCAGATTCACTTTATATCTCCAAAAATCCACACTGCTATATTTTCGAATATCCATAATCCTAACAACCTTATAGTCATTATTCAGTGAATCGAAACCAAAACCAAAAAGAACCCTATAAGGAGATTGGCTCTTAGGATGACAAAACCCAGATAGTGGGGTTTTCAAAATCTTTCTAATTATTGGGTTCCACAATATCAAGGTATGCGTACTACAGTAATAATTTTGAACAAGGCAAAAAACTCCATTACAATAACCAACGAAGAAAGAAGAGTGGAGTTCCATTTCAATAGAGGTGTCTAATTTGGAATACTCGCCGAAAGGTTCGGCATAGAAAGGCAATGAGTACAAGCTGGTTCTGCCTTTTGCATCCCTACAGTAACATAAAAAGAACAAAGACTGATCGTCTCTATTGAGATGGGCAGTGACAAAAGCAGGGCTGATAATGAGAGCGTTCCAAGATTTGCATACACACCTTAATTTTAATAAAGATTTGACGGGCAATCTTGTAAGAATATCGATTACCAAATCCTGCGGAAGATAATCCGACATTTTCCACTCTTGCCTCTCTCTGCGGAAGATAAGTTCATGCAATGATACAGGGAAGAGGGGAAAAAACCAGGATGAATTAGATCTTGGAAAGTGGAAGGGGACGATGGGAAACGAAGCGGCGAAAGACGAAAGGACTGGAAGTGGAGGGAATTCAATTGAATGAGGAACTAAAGAGGGCAAGATATCTAAAAAGAGTGGGCTGGACTCAGTATTTACTTAGGACTATGGATCTATTTGTAAACAGATTTGGGCCTCCTAGATAGCAGTATATAGATAGATCGAGGATATTATCGGTATTGTCTTGTATCTAGAGCGTAATAAATGCAAGTCAACATATTTCTTCGCTTAACATTTTCAGTTTATTAGCACGGTGAGCAATTCTCATATTGGGTCTCTAATAAATATAAAATAATAGGTTTACATTAAATAAAATATTGGTATACATTTTTTTTAAAAAATTTTAACTAACATCAATTAATATTCCTACACTATATATAGCAACATTAAACACCATATTTTGATTAAAAAAAAAATCATATAATATTTTGGCTATTTAAAATATTTTTTAACTTAAGGAACTTGGATTCCTAATTTGTCAATATGTGTACTTTGTATGTAACCAAAATTTTGGATAAATCGGTAATAATGAAAAAAAATTAAATTAAAAATAAAATGCTTTTAAACCTATCAATAATTTTAAAAAAATTACGTTTTAGTATTCATGTTTATAGATATTATGAAAATTAATTTTTTAACATAAATAAATTCTACATTTGTTGTAAAATTAATTTGCTATTTTGATATATACTCTTCTATTAGATATTTTTTCTATCCAACTATTTCTTAAAAAATCTGTCATCGTATAATATTATGTAAAAATGTTTAATCACAATTTTGTAACAATATTAACTTTAAATTATTCATTTATGGAATATTATATATATATAAAATAACATAATAAGTTTCCCCAAGTAATTTAACAAACTGAAACATAAAACATAGCATTTTGATTCTCTAGCATTTCTTGGTTTCCTTTCCTTCTTCTCTTTCAGGTGCCAACATTTTGTTTGTAATGAATTTAAAGAAGTTTAAGCCGTCATAGCACTGCCAATGAATCAATCAATCAATATTGGAAGGGATGGGATTGGCAAGAAAACAGCTTACCATTGTTTTTCTCTTTCTCTGCTTTACACTTTTTCTGCAATTGATCTTTGTTTCCTCTTCTACTTCACCTCAGGTACATAACAATATCATTTCACTGCTTCAATTTCCTTCAAATGAAGACCCTTTTTCTTTTTAGAGAAGTAATTCATTTCTATGTTTTCGTTTCTTCAGGGTCAAAAAGAAACTGCAGCATCAAGGTAATATGCCACTATTCGCTTAGATTGTTAGATGTCCAAAGAATAGCAGCACTTTTCACTTCATTAACTAAATTCTTGAATTGGGTTTCTTTAATTTTGCGAGATTTGAGATTTAATGATCAAAATATAGTGTTCATTAACTAAATTCTTGAATTGGGTTTCTTTAATTTTGCAAGATTTGAGATTTTAAGATCAGAAGACAGTGCCTTGTATTTCTACCACTATAATTGGCTTCCTTTTGGTTTCACTTGTTATGTCATTGCTGTTTTTTTTTTTTTTTCCTTATAAAACAATTCGCATTGATTATAGCTAACATGTGTGAAGTGATCATCAGAAGTCTTGAGCATGAGAAAGAAGTGCATTGTTCAAGAAAAAGGAGTAGGGCAGCATGGAAAATAATTGAGGAGGTATTGGATAAGTACGATGTTAACTTGAAATGCTTCATTTGGTAGTTTGATAGAGGAGTGAGTGCATTGCGCTATTGTTTGATGTTTGGTGCAGTATTTGATGCCCTTTGTTGAGAAAGAACGATATAAGATGTTGAGTACGTGTAGGCTTCATCCAGAGAATGACTTATACAGAGATCAAGAACAGCATAAGGTGCATGTAGATATAAATGAATGGCAATGCGGATACTGTAAGAAGACCTTTTATGAAGAGAAGTACCTTGATAAGCATTTTGATAACAGACACTACGATCTGTTGAATGTGGTAAGTGTTAATGGATAATTTTATCTTTAATGATGTGGATCTTTAATATGCCTGTAATTTTATGAAAACAGAATGTTGGTGATCTATCTATAGTATGCTTGCTATCCTATTGGATGCCATTTTAAATGGAGCTGAATAGTTAAGATGTCCTAAATGTCATCCTTAGTTAAGGGAAATAAAAGTTTTTAGTAATGACATGCTCAACATTGCTAACTCATCTTGGAATGTTTCTCTGATTAGGAATATATGTGGAAAGTGTCTTAGGAAAAATATTAGTTAACTGGGTATGTGTTTTGCATTATTTTGTTGGACAATTCTCGGGATTACATGTCCAAAAGCTGGTTTCCCATAGCTGAAAGCATTGTCTCACTCTCAGTTGAAAAGTTTCATAATTTTGACTATGAATTTGCTCAGTAAATTAAGGCTCATGAAATTGTGGATGATCAATCCTTCATACCATTGGTATGATGAAGGAAACTTGTATAGAATGACATATTTTAAATTTAGATTGAGCTACCTTATTCTGATTATCACACCCTGCTAAATATGGGGTACTTGTCAATGAGCTGGTGTTTTTCCTTCAACTTTTATGGAAAGCCATGAATCACAGTTGTTCTGATCACTTGTCTTGCTTAAACTCCTTTGTCATCATTTCTATATGAAGTTTATGTTTCCAGTGCTTCTTCCCAAGTCTGTATTGCTGCCTTAAGTGTTATGGCCTTAGTTTTACATCACCTATCTTCTTATTACATTGAGAAATATGCATCTATTGGATATTGCCAGACACATTTTCACAATATATTTAAGGAATTGAAACATTGAACATTGTCCTGAACCCAGAGTCATAGCAGGTGCTTGGCAGATGTATGTGGTGCCTTACATTGTGACCTTGTTATGGATTCTGCACCACAGAAGACCAGGTGCAATCCTGCTGCTGTAGGAAGGAATAAGCATCTGTGTGAGGTGACCCCTCAACTATACTTGTGTTTTATCAATTCCATTGGTCTTTATCTCCTTAATACGATGATTGTGTCCAGAGTCTAGCTGACAGTTGTTTCCCAGTCAATGAGGGTCCTTCAGCTCTCCGTCTCAATGGTAATATTTCACATTCTGTGTAACTGCAAAGTTGTTACATGTTTAGTAACTTGCTGATCTTATGACATTTGTAGCTGACACTTTTTCAATTGGCAGAGTTCTTTAGTAGCTTGTTGATCTTATGATATTACTAGCTGACGTTTTTTCAACTGGCAGAGTTCTTCTTGCGCCAATTTTGTGATGCCCACACTTGCTCTGGAGGTCAGAAGCCATTTCTTAAAAGGGGAAAGGTAAATTTTATGTCCTTTCTTTGCTTGCCTTTTGCTCTAGTACTTTGCTGAGTCTATCTGAGGTAGCATAAAAGCTTAGCTGCATTGATTCAAGTGATGCAAGGCAATCTTGAGGCTTGAACCTAGCAAAACGCAGACAAATGAGGAAATGGAAATCAATCTTTGCTGCATTCCTGGGCTCTTTTTAGCTTGCATTCCCTCCTTTTTCTTTTTCTTTCGCCTTTTCACCATTTCCTCATATGTTAAAAATCTAGTAAAGAAACCTCTTTCACATGACTCAAGTCTACCTCAGTCAATGCAACTGGAGCCAGTTTATTGGTTTATCTTGAAATACCAGATTTGATTGTGGCACCCACCTTGTATTCAGGTTTCATTTATGACGTGTGCTTGCAGCCATCGCATTAAGATAGTTGCATTATTTAGCATGCTATGAACTTCAAGTTCACTTCTTAGTAAGGTTTGTTGATTACTTTGTACATTATATCTCTGTTGTTTCGCACGTGTAGAAGGAGACAAGCACACTGTATCTTATAATTTCTATTCTGGTTTTGATGCTGCTGGCACTTTTCTACAGCTTCGTGTATTTGTACTGGAGGTATTTGTAATCTACATTCTAATCTTCACTCATCTCTTTCTTCTACCATATATATTGCTTTACAATGTGCTTATTTATCCTGTAGGGGAATAAAAAGGGGCAACCAAGGGCTGAAGCGCATCTCTAAAAGTGGACAGAAGAAAAAGCCTTCATAACTGGTGCATTTTTCTTTTCATGTAATCATGGCTACAGTGCTTTGGTGTATACATAGTTGGTGCATTCTTGCTTTACAGATTGAAAGTGATACCAATGCACCTGAAATTTTAGTGTAGAGAAGAACCAGATAGTGGAAAGAGTAGCCTAGTATGCTTCTGTTATTCATCTATATCTATGACTTTGTTGGAGGTTCTTGCTTTATGAACGGTAATAAACAAGAGTCCATCTTTCATCAGAATTACATGACATGAGTAGGATTTAACCGTTTATGGGTTACGATCAAAGATAATGGCGGATTTATACTCAACTGATGTCCCTTTATTTAATGGCTCTAACTATCTACATTGGAAAGCTAGAATGCAAGCATTTTTTTTTACAATTCGAATCACAAGATTGGGACATAGAATATTGTACAAAATGGATTCATTTAACCAACCGTAATAGATTGTGCAGGTGTTAGTGTGTTACCATATTAAAAGTCTTGGATAAATTGAATGAGGTCCAAAGGAAAAGATAAAATCTTGATGCTAAAGCTAAAATTGCCTTGCTTTATGTTCTGTGGTAGTGAATTTCATTGGGCAAGCGCATATCAAACGGCAAGAAATACATGGAGGTTATTGGATGTCAAGTCGAAATCTAATGTACTTATGAGGGACTACAAACTCTTCAAGCTGCTGCTTCCTGGTGCAATCAAAGACATTAATACAAATTACAAGGTTCACAACCTTTGTAAATGGTTCAAGGGACCTTAGAAAGAAGTTATGGTAGGCAACCTTTTGAGGTCTCTTATCTCTACCAATGACTAGGGAACTGAAAGTTGCTGACATTGACCGGAGCTAAAATTTAGAAGAATCTTAAATTTGATGATCTCATTAGATCACTTATTGCTCATTAAATTAAAAGTGACAAGCTTGAAACAGAAGAGGTCGACATCAACCTATATATATATTACCTTAAAATCCATAACCTTACATGATGATGCTAGAAATGATGAGAGTAGTGATGAAGATATTGCTTTCATTGCAAGGAAATTGAAGGCGTTTCAGCAGGAGAAGAAATCTATATACTCTTACAAGATGATGCTGAAAATGACGGGAGTGGTGATGAAGATATTGCTGTCATTGCAAAGAAATTCATTATATCAAGAAGAAGAGTTTTCCAAAAGGTGACTCGATTTGCTAAGAATGCAGGACAGAGGTACATGCCAAGAATGATTGTCCCAAGATGAAGAACAGATGGAAATCAGAAAACAAAGCTTCAACATAAAATGGGATGATAACGATGATTCAAGTTCAAGCAGACGATGATTCTGAAAAGAAAAAATATATTCTCTTGCAATACCAAGGTTCAGAGCTCAAGCAGATCCAGCTTAACCAAGACTGAGGCGAGTGATGACGCCATTGTTAACCATTAGGAAGAATTCCATGCTACATTAGGGAGACTATTAATCAGTTTCCTAGGGATCCCTGATAAGATACAACTGTTGTCCGAGTTACTGATTTGATAATAATAATAATAACATGCTTGATAACAACTAATCTTAAACTGCGTCGTGTGTTAATATCTTGCTTGAGATTTAGTTTCCTAACTTAGATTTTGGAAAAGAAATATCTTTATAACAACTTCTTGGGCATCTGGCTCAGGCGTGGCATTGCCAAATGCCAACCACTTACTATCAAAGTGAAATAGAGTACTTCATTGGCCATTCCAGAAAATCCTTTTATCAAAAACCGAAGGATGACGGTTCAATTTGGACGTACTGATACTTGTCAGGGACTTTGGGTCACATTGGATTTGCCCATTCTCTACCTAGACCGAGTTATCCTCTGTTTTGTCCTAAAAGTTTAGAGCATGAAGCTAAAGAGAAAATCTTGCTGGAAAAGATAAAAAAACGATCTTCCAAAGTTAATAGCATTGATGTTTCTTTGCAAAATGTGTAAAAGGATGCCTCTGCAATCTAAAGAGAAATTCTTGATGTTCTACCACTGTGAATTCCAGCTTGAACCTGTCAAACAAAGCATGGGATCAGAGGGCTGCTGACATACATGCCCTAGGATGTTCTGTCGGACATAAAGTGGCTTATACTTGTGGGGGTGGAACAGCAAAATAAAAACATTCATGTTTCTAAATCTAAATTGATGCTTTGGAAATAACATTTGCAATTGTGTGACGTGTTGCTGTGATGTTTGAACTTCACACTTTCAGGGAGATAAAGGTTGCATCCCCTTCTTGCTCATTGCTCGCTGTGGAACACCAATTAAGAAGCCAGCTAGGATGATCAAACTGAAGCCTCCATCATTTTCTTCTAGCTGGATCTCGGCTGAGGCCATACTTCTTTAGTGTTTTGATGTAATTTCTCATCAGTGTAAACTTGTTGCTCCCAAGATGGTAGAAATAATCCCATGTATATATTCCAGTTTTATGCAAATCATCGAAAACTATCCTGAATCATCCACCCAAATCACACCATCAACATATTTTACAGTACAAGTACTTTCGAATAAGAAGTTGGCATCACTTTATATTACAATAGAAATAAGTACATAGAGCTTAAGCCTAAAGTACCTTACCCCGTAGTTTCCTACAGGTTCAGCAGACATGATGCCAACATGACACCGCCCAACTATCACCTGGTTAAGGAATATCAAGCATTCAAATGACTTAATATTTATGGAATACAGAGTAAAGGAAGACAAATTGGTAACACATGATAGAGGAAACAGAAATAATCAGCATGGCATCAAAATAAATGGTCTTGTGCACAAGAGTGTTTCCAAATTGCAGAAAAGTTTACTAAATTTGTATTTGACTAGTTTATGCCAACACAAAAACATATTTTTGTTTCTCCAGTTTAACAGAAGAGCAGGATTCAAAAAGATTGAATGAAGTGGGATAAAACTCTGGATATAGCGTTGTCAAAATAATTTACTTTTGAATTACAAAACTTCAATGAAAACAAGCTCTTCTACTCGATCATAATCAAAACTTTTCTAACCACAAGTTAAGTAAATGTCCGAGAAGAACAACTCATAGAAAATCATCTCTTATTTTGATTATGAAAACATTCATAACAGGATTTATTTATTTATTTGGTAGAGCATCAAATCTTATAATAAGGCAAAGACAACCTTTTTACCTTCTCACCCCCAACTGACCTAACTTTCCCATCAACAGCTGGACTATGTATTCTTAAGAACTCAGCAGACAGATGAAACTTGCTACCGTTGGTATATTCCACCTCTACCTGGAGATTTAAAGAGAACATAAACACAACTGAGCTACGTGGCAGATAAAATATAAGAAATGACATGGTCACAAATAACAACCTTGAAAGATAATGGAGACCTAATATTTGATATGAATACCGGCAAAACTACCAAGATTTAAGGATATTCAGTTAGTTTTGAATGTAGAATTTCCTTCATCAAATTAATACTTGTGAAACATTTAACAAAAAATGGAAAAGAAAAATGTGCTCAATTTCCAAGAGACACGTTCACTACCTTAGGATTGGTTTAGATACTACAATATAGAATCATCGGCACATATAGCCTGCCAGGCAATATGTATGCTCTCTGTACTGCATTTCTACAATCACAAGTCACCAATGTGAACAAAACGAATATTCACAAGGTCAGATAGGTAAAAAGGGTCAAACTTTACTTTCAGCCATGTTGTGGGCTAAGTAAATCAAATCGCAATGGTGTTGAAGTTGTTGTTCTTAAATCAGAAAACATGTACTTAGTTAATGATAATGCCGATTTCAGTGCTTATTAAGTTGTTCATTCCTCATCATTCAGAAAATCATGACTGAAATGAAAGCCCATTACATTAACCACAAGATGCCACACAAAGCTCCTTTTCTTAACAAAGAATCGCCGAAATAAATACCCATTTTCCATACTTTTCCCTCCATGGACATAAGCAACCTCATATGCTTAAACTATCATATTGACTCAACAAATTTGACGTTCAATCCCATCTCATCAGCACTTTTCTTGGTTGCAACATTCAAAAAATCACAAAGTAATTTCCCATTTTCCACGGTATGAATTAAACCATCCATCACAAATTTACTAACTTTTAAACAGATACTAAAAGATCACAAAGAAGCCAGTTTATATCAAATACACAGCCGTAAACCAACCTCAAAATAATAACAAATGAATTTACCAAATCACATAAAAAAAGGTACAAAAGAGAAAAGAAGGGTTTTTCGCTTACATTTTTGGGTGCTTGGAGAGTGAATCTGGTGAGGCGTGGAGCATCCACGCTTGTATGGATCCTCCTGATTGCTTTCTGTATTGCTAACATTTCTTCTCTTCTTCTTCTTTGATCCTGGAAGAAACTCAAGCGCTGTCTTTCTGCTTAAAACTGAATTGGGCCCAGGCCCTCTCTAGTCAATCGGCCTTTTTATTGGGCTTTCACTAATTCATACGCGCCAATGGGTCTAAGGAAAAAAAATTGGCACGCAAGCAAAATAAATGATAGATAATTGCAAGAACAACCATTTTTATTTTTTTAATTGAATATATAAATTTTAATATTTTTTTATTTAAGCATATTATTAATAATTTTAAAACAGATAATCAATTATTTTCTATCTAACTTTTGTTAATTATTTTGTTATCTGATTATGTGTCTTTTTTTTTTCCATTCTACTAAATTATAATTTTATTCTTTCATTCTTAAAAATAACTTTATTTCTTAAATTATTTTTTATTTTTTATTTTTGGTAAATATTCAAATTTTTTATATTTAGAAAGTAGAAAATGACATCATAATTTGGGAGAAAAGTTCATTCCATGAGTGAAGGAAATGGCAAAATCATAATTTAGAAATCTAGAATAGATGACATATCATTAGATAACGAATCAATTCACGAAGTTGGATATACCAAAAAACTTAATTTGAATTTTTTTAAAAAAATTAATGTATTCAAACAAAAATAATTAAATTCATGTACTCGATTTAAAAAACGTTAAAAGTTAATATACTTATAATGAAATTATCTTTATAATTAAATGATCAAGGGATTTTACTATTATAGAATTTGAATCTTCACCAAATAAAATATGATAGTTTGTTATGATCGTTTTGTTTGAGGATAGGAATCATCTTGAGCAAGGAATGTTTTCTTGCTAGTTGTCGCTACCCGACGTTGGACAAGACTCCCATAAAAAAAAATCGATGATATCACTAGTTTCGGATCTTTATTTTATTTATAAGACTATTTGCAGAGTTTGGAGTCGCCACCTAGTATTGAAGGAACTAGGAACCTAAAATTGGCATTGGTTCGGAGATTTTATGGTAAGGAGTCGGTTACGCTTATGGGAAGATAATTAATCACCCAAAAGTGCCCTTTCCTAAGAAAGGTACCACATGTAGCTTAGTCCTAAATTATCTCCTAAAGTATTTTATTTTTGCCAAATTATTTTTCAGTTTTTGAGACTCCAATTTTTCAAGTCAAATTAAGTTTTTTATTTTTGAGCGTGGCATCGTATTGAAACGATCGTCGGACCCCTTTCATCGAGAGACACGTCGGTTCAAACATCGGATCCACCTTTTTTGAGTCTCGACACAACCGGTGTGCCGGAGAACACTTGTTTATTAGAAAAAAAACTTTTTTTTTTGACTAACAACGAATCCCTATCGATAGGAGACTTTGTTAAAAAGTTTTATGATTTTTTTTTGTTATTTTTCTTTCTTTTATTTTATTATTATATTTTTTATTTATTTATTTCTTTTTAAGAAGGGTTATCATCGATCCCTAAAACTTAGGAGACTTGACAATCTTCTACTTATTACTTACTCGAACCTAATTAATAAACAAATAAATTAAAGCTACATGAATTAAATAAAAGAAATCAAATACCGAAATTTAAATTAGTAACATGCATACATAAAATAAATTCCAGATTAAAAATTACATTAATTAAAATAATAAAAACAATTCAATAGCTAATTTTAATACGAAATAACAAAATCCCTAGAAAAAAATTCACTCTTTTTTCTTACTTCTTTTTTTTTTTTTTTTTGGGTTTGGGCTATCCAGCCCGAATTTCTCTTCTTTTTTTTTTATTTGCGGACTGGACCGAAATTTCAGTCCAAGTCCATTAACCCGTGGGTTGGGCCACCTAACCCACAACATTTAAAACCAAAAAAAAAACCCAAAAACCAAACCCAAAACCCATTTCAAAGCATAACTTAAGATCAAAACCCCTTTTTCTTTTTTTTTTTCAATTTCCCTTTTCTCCTCTCTCTTTCCCGTTTCTCTTTCTTCTTCTTCTTCCCTTCTCTCTACCCGATCGCCATGGACGAACCAGGTTCGTCCCCTTTTTTTCGTTTTCTTTCGTTTTCTTCTCTTCCTCCTTTCCCGCACCCCTCTCTTCTTTCTTTTCCTTCCCTTTCTCCTTTCTCTCCCTTTCCCGTCTCTCTTTTTTTTTTTTGTAACATGTTAGCTGCTGCCATGGACGAACCAGTGGAGGTTCGTCCATGGCAGCTTGATTTTCCCTTTTCTTTCTTTCTTCTCCCCTTTCTTTCCTTCTTTCCCTCGCTCAAACAAAAACCCCCAAATCAATTTCTAAAAATTTTCTCCAATTCGACCGAACCCTAATTTTTCAATTCTTCAAATTTTCATGCGATATTGCTTTGATTAGAGTGAAATCAAGTTAATTCGACCCTTTAGGACTCAATTTTATCAAAACCCCCAAATCTATTCTTCAAATTTTTATAATTTCGAAAAAATCCCAAATTTAAATCGGACTTAAATTGAAACCAAAAAAATGAAATTAAAGAGAAATTAGAGGGATTACCTAAAAGAATTGGTTGGAATGGATGAGGACCGCCTTCGATTCGAGTAAATTTAATTTTCCTTTTTTTTTTTTTCGAATTTTCTCTCTTTTTTTCTTTACTCGTCGATTTGCCTTTTTTTTTTTTTAATCGCTAACTCTCTCCTAATTTTCCAGTGCTTCACTCTTAATTTTCTTGGATATCGGACTAAAGAAAAAAAATCCCCCTCCCCCGTCTTTTTTTTTTCTTTTTTCTTTCTTTCGCCGCCCTCGTATGTATATATATATGTGAATGTGGCTTGGTTGGTTCCCCCACTATGATGGTGGGGGATTTTCTCGCGAGTTTTCCGGAGTGGGTGTGTCCGACCATTTTTTGGTCCTAAGGGATGGCTATGGCGAGGCTGGTAAGGGGAAGGTAGTGCGATTCTTGCAATTTGCGGCATGGTGAGGTTGCGAGGAATTGGGGGATTGCCACGGAGATTGCTACATATGGGGGAAGTTGTCCGGAGGGACTCGTGGGAGTTGTGTGGTTGAAGCGGTGAGGCTCCCGGAGGCACTTGTAGAGGTTGTATGGTGATGCGAGCTCGCTGGAATATGCAGCGATAGAGTGGTGGCGAGGTAGAGAGGTGCCGAAATTGTTGACTTGAGAGGAGTTGAGCGATCTGCAAGTTGAAAATTTTTTGTTTTGTTTTGTATTTTTGTATTTTATTTTATTTTTTGTAATTTGGTTCTGAATTATAAATAAATAAATAAAAGAAAAATTATATATATATATGTATTTTTTGTCTTGATTTTATACAAAGCAAGCCTAAATTTAAATAATGAAAATAAAATAAAGAACACAAAAATAATACACAAAAGGTAAAATTTTAGGGTATGACACTAGTTGACATTTTAAGAGTAAAGCCTGATTTATTTATATATAAAAAAAAGAAACAAAAAATCAAAACATTATTTTATATGTTTTTTTAATTTTATTTATTGAATAGTTTTTTCATAATTTTTTTTTTAAAAAAAGTCAAATCGACACAATTCTTAATTGAATTTATCAATTCAATTAATGAATTGCAACTTGATTCTTTCCAGTAAATTTTATTTATGCAATCAAAATTTTCATGAGTTTTGTAATATCAATTACAAAATAAAAGTTAAAATAAAAAACGTCAACTTTTAGTAAGACTAAGTTGTCCTTTTCTTAAATCCCAATTGCTCTTAATTAAGAAAATATAGTTAGGCCGGGTTGTGGTTTTTCCTCTACATCATGCCTTACATCATGATTCAACCTACTCGTTGGTTTGTGTTTATCTTTGCATTATTAGTTTTTTTGAAAATTTGTTAAAAAATAAGAATAAAATAAAAATGATAACGTGTATGGATCAGCAAAGTTAAAAGATTATATATATACACACAACTGGATTTTTTTTTTTTGTGCATTTTATCCTTGTACAGAGGCCATATATTGTTACAGCAAAGCATATCACAACATTACACTCTTCAAGCTGATGTCTTCGGTGTCGTTTTCAGCAGGAATTAGCCTCACTTGCTTCATCTCATGTACCAAAAAACACTACAACAATCAAATACTTTGCATTGCTTAAACAAGATTCAATTATTTTTTAAACAAACATATTGTATGGTTAAGGAGAATTAATATTAAATCATAAGCTCTTCAGAGAATTTTCATTGACACCCTATCGCTTAATTATTTTTTAAACAAACATATTGTATTGGATCGTACAGTTAACTCAGCAACTTGGCTTTGAAATTATAAATTAGCCTCTGCATGTATCGTGGTCGTCGTCATCTTCTTCTTCTTTTTTCTCTTATGATATAAATAATCAGTTGAACATAATGTCTACCTTATCTGTCTAATTTTGATGTTGTTAGGCAATGATGATGGTGGTGACGACAATGAGAAGCAGAGGGATGACGGGTGCCACATGCCCTGCACCAATCTCATTAACAAGTAATGGTTCATGGCCGCTAAGAATTAAATTAACTAGATATATTTTTTAGTTGGACATATATGATTGGGCCAAACCTCTGGCATCTTTGTTCGAGCTCGTACTTTAGTAGAACCTGTGTCGACAAATTAAGAAGTAGAAGCTATTTTTTTAGACAATTAAAAGCTGTTTGGTATCGTTTTTAATTTTCTACTTTTGTTTTATATTTTTAAAATAAGATATGACAATTATTTTTCTTCAAGAAAATAAAATTTAGAAAGAAGTTTTTAATATTTCTAACATATGTTTTGAGATTCAGGACGGGTTAGAGAGTTGGAAAATGATTGGTATTAAGGCTCGGATTGAGACCGAGTTCGGAAACTAAGTTTGGGACATCCTGAGTTTGGGGCAAGACTAGGTTCAGAGCATTTGAGATTTTGCAGGAAATGGGTTCCGATTATCTAGGTTTCAGGATGGGACCAGGTCCAAGTCATTTAAGGGTTCAAACTCGGAACGGGTCCGGAGCACTCGAAGTTCGGCGAAGAATCGGGTTCGAAGCGCCCAAGTTTTAGGCTGGGAT